GAATAAGGTGGTAGTTTGGTTTTTTCAGCCCAAATTATGAGACTCTCAGTCAACCTGGACCTCCAGCTGCAGCAGAGAGGGCCTCCCCTGGCCAAGCAATATTTCTTCTATCTCTCTTGTCAGCTGGTTACCTCTGGCCTGGGTACAGCCACTCTAGCAAGGCTGCTAAAAGAGCAAGAGGACATCGATATAAACCAACACTCTAAATAGTCCCTACTATTTCCCCTAATACTACAGCCTCATCCAGAGTGCAATCTGTGTCTTAAAGTATTGTATATGGTAGTTGGAGCCAACGTTTTGCCACTGCAGAACAGGGGTCACCAGCTTTCCTGCCTGCAGTGTTGGTCACCTCCTTATCCAAAGCCCTGCACGCTGCATTCAGCCCATTCCACTGTTGGTGCTGTTACTTGCAGCAGCCTACTTCACAATTCTGTGTCAGGCAGGGTTTTCAGGGCCAAATAACAGAATCCACTATGGCTAGCTTAAGCAGAAAAAATAATTAAGCAAATAATACTAATCACAGAACCTTTGGGACAGCAAGAGAAAGAGAGTAGGCGCTAAGCAACAAGAAGAGTGTCAGAAGTGATGCTGTTGGACTAACACGATGAGGGAATCACCATCACATCATCTGAACTTGACTCGACTGCACTTGCTACTGCCACCAGCCAGCACTGACATCTCCTCTGCATCAGGAAACCATCGCCACTTACGACCACCACCATAGTCACCCCTGCCACCACCCACGTCAGGAAAGATGGACGCTCCAAGTACATCCTGTCTCTGCACCTCACTCATTTCCAAATGAAAGTCATGCCCGAGTGTATCTGAAGGACAAGAGCCCAGGTCACAGGCCTGTGGTCTAGCAGCAAGGGAGGTTGGGAAGTCAAGTTCTGGGATAAAACATAGAGATTCCCACAAATATTAAAAAGGACTTTCCAAGCCTGGTGGACAGCCATGAATATGACTGATGTCCACTACTATGGCCAAGGTATTTTAAAGTAAGAAAAGCAAGATGCAGAACGATGTGCATAGAATACTCTCACTTGCATAAGAAGTAGAAACAGTCTACCTGCATAGACGATCTCTGGGAGGTTCTGCAGGAAATGAGTAACTATTATCTCTGGGGAAGGGAACTCAGTAATCAGAGGTGGGAAGAAGGTTTAATTATCACTGTATACTTCCCTGTACCCTTTGGTTGAGGTGGGTGCAATGTAAGGATGGAGAAAGAGGGAAGGGGGAAGGGAGGGTAGGAGGAAAGGAGGCGCCATGTTTCTTGCTCCTTCCATTCTCAAAGGTGGGCTCCAGAGTGGCCCCATGGAAGGCCTTTTTACTGTTCTTTGCTCTTCCTCATCCTTCTTCATCCAGCTCTTTAGATACAGCGGGACACGCCCTCTCCACCCTGGCAAGGAGAAAATTTCAGAACTTGCCTGGGCATGGAAAGTGCTTGTTATCCATCCAGCTGGAAAGGAGGGTGCCGCTGTAATAGGTACATTCTGCTTCTTTGCACTGAGCAAAACACGTTCTCCACGCACATGAACACAGCTCCCATTTTGTGTATCCCAAGGACTCGATGCAAATAAAAAATACATTTTAGGTGTTTAGGTATCCATTGTCATTTCTTAGTTGCCAGATTTTTAGGTTTATAAGCTGAAGACTTGAAAGAAATTGATATTGGACTCGAGGGGGAAGGGGGGCATGGGCAATATATGTAACCTTAACACTTGTACCCCTATAATACGCTAAAATAAAAAATAAAATAAATAAATAAATAATAAAATACAAAAAAAAAAAGAAATTGATATTGGGTAACACCCTATTTGTTTTGTCAAATAAAACCATCAACTAAAAAAAATCTTTTCTCTTTCAAGCAGCTTTCTCATCCTATCTAAATTAATTATATAAAATTTTTTAAACTTTGAGGGCTCACCTAGTGGAAATGGGAAGGTGCTAGAGGAAGAAAGTCATTTGTGTTTAAAAAGTTAAAGTTAGCTGGGCATGCAGTGGTTCATGCCTGTAATCCTAGCACTCTGGGAGGCAGAGGCAGGAGGATCGCTTGAGGCCAGGAGTTAGAGACCAGCCGGAGTAAGAGCAAGACTCCGTCTCTACAAAAAAACAGAAAACTTAGCCAGGCATGGTGGCACACACCTGTAGTCCCAGCTACTCAATAGGCTGAGGCATGAGGATCACTTGAGCCCAGGAGTTTGAGGCTGCAGGGAGCTATGATGATGCCACTGCACTCTAGCCTGGGTGACAGAGTGAGACCCTTGTTTCAAAAAAAAAGGTTTTTTTTAAACTTAAAGTAGCTGAGACTTTCAAAGGTCCTCCACTCGGACATTTCCCTGTTGTATTCAGTGAAAATGGAATATGGCTGTATCTGTCATCCAGCCCTATCTACTCATACCCCATTAGATAATGCAGACATGACTTATCTTTTTGAAGGTACTAATTCACAGGTCAGTCTATTTGTGTACAGGGAATTAATAACAGACATCATTTCAATATTTGTCCCATGAACATGTAAGATTTTGAGGTCGGGAGATATAGCTTCTTTTTATTCTCCACTCTTCTGCTACCTGAAGCACAATAACTATCTGTTAACTAAAAAAATATCTTAAAACAGTTCCCTAGAAACTGCAGGTTATTATGGAAAACTATCAAGTTCTTATCCAGTGTTTCAAATTCCATCTCAAAAATCACCTCCTGTATGAAGCCTTTTCTTATACTCCCCACCACTCAAACACCTGGCAGAAGTAGACACCCTCTTCTCCATTCCTTAGCACCATACTTACCACGTGAAGATAAAGTCTGTGCCTAGTTAATCTGACTAATTTCAGTACATACAGTGTCTAGCTTATAGTAATACAGTGACTGAGTGAATAAATAAGCCAACTCATTCATTGCTGATGAATATGTCTGAATTAATTGAATAACAGACGCAGGGCATTGATTCTGCTTGTTTTTTTTTTTTTTTTAAGGGAAGTAAGGGTGAGCATTGTTTCTTTGTGTTAAAATTGTGAAGACTAGAATATACTTTTTAATCCATTTCTAACCCAGGACCTTTGGGGATGGGTCAGACCCATGTCATGAGAATGACAGTAAACAGGTAATAAGTAAAAAATTAAATTAAATGCCTAGGACACATAATATAGGTGAAACTCACAAACATAATGTTGAACAAAAGAAGCCAGACACAAATAACTCATATGGTCTGATTCTATTTATATAAAGTACAAATCCATCGAAGGAGTAGAAGTCAGGACAATGGTTTAACCTTGGTGGTGGTAGTGGGTGGTGATATGTAAAAGAAGGAACCAAGGGGCTTCTGGGAACCGATGATATCCTCTTTCTTAATCTGGGCACTCTATGTGTGTATATATATATATATGTATAAGTCCAATTAAAAGCTTAAAAAAATACCCTAAGCCGAGAAGAAAGATTAAAACCAGCTGAATTCTTCAGCAAAATCCAGATATTTTCAACTGAAATGAAAAATCATACTGGTATAAATAGAGCCATTAATACTTCAAGGTCTTGAACACAGAAGATCTTGAACACAACCTAAGTTGTAAGTGGCGGTGAGCAGTCTCTGGAAAGCAAACTTTAAACACCTTCTGCCCAAGACGAGGGCATATTTGCTCAGTTGATGTTGGCATGTAGGGAAACGGGACCAGATGACTGTTGACCTGTGGACAAACTACCAAATTAGGAAATTCCATTTCAAGTCTTTAATTATTTTAATTACAAAATCCTATATTTGCTGACAATATTCAACTGACCTTTTTAAATTTAAAGTATCTTTCAAAAGGTTATAATTCCTGAATATGGTAATGTTCAAGCAAAAATACAGATTCAACTTCTAAATTCTATAACTTTTTATATTAAAATTTAAGTTATCTCAAGCTTTGTGGGCTTGATGCAAATCGCTAACGCCTGTATTGTTCTGCATGAAATGCCACCGTGGAATGGCGGGCATTCCATCCCTCTACCCATTTCACGGATGAGGAAATTGTAAATTCCACGTCTGTTTTGGTAACCACTGCACCCTCGGAGCCCAGCCCCATGCCTGGCGTGCAGTAAGCACTCAACAAATGCGCGTTAGAGGATCAAAGGAGGCTTGGGAGGGTTGTGTAAATTGCCCGAGGTCACTCACCCTCCCTGGGTGGCCCAGCTCTCTTTGCTAGTAATTCCAACAGGAAGGTGACGTGGGCGTGGGCGGTGATCCCGGGGTGAGCCACCGCAGGTGCGGCCGGGACTTCGCCACGCGGCCTGGCCCCGGGTACACACACAGACACACACACACCAGTCTTCTGTTGTCGGACGCCTCGCCCTTCGCGGGGATTCACATCGCCCTCTTACTCAGGGATGAATCGCTCTGGTTTCTTCCCCCGCGCCGACCACAGGTGCTCCAGGACTCCTTACGAGGGAGACAGCTGTTGGCGCCCAGAGGCGGGAGTCTCGGCCGGGACGCGCCGGGGAGTGGGCGACGGGCGTACCTGGAGGGCAGGGGAAGTGGCCCGGCTTTCATCACCTGGGCTAGTGCCCCGCGGGCCTCGGGCCGGGAAAACTGCTGGCGGCCCGCTAGGGGCGGGATGAGGGGTCGCCAGGGGGGCCGCAGCGGGGGAGCGTGCGTCGCGAGTCCTCCCGGCCGTCCGGGCGCAGGGCAGCCCTTCCGCCACCCTTAAAAACTCCGCGCCCCGCGGAGGCGCGCCCCTGTAGTCCCAGCGGCTGGGGAGACTGAAGCGGGAGGGTCGCTTGAGCCCAGCAGTTGGAGGCTGCAGGATGCAGCTAGGATGACACCACTGCACTCCAGCCTGGGCGACAGGTCGAGACCCCATCTCTAAAGAAGAAAAAACAAAAAAAAATCTGCTGCGGACTGCGACTCTTCTCCGCGGGAGCGAGACCTAGCAGGCCCGGGGCTGGGCGTGCCCTCGCCTGCCCCGCCGTGCGCTGGCCCTGGCCAGCCGGGCCGCTGGGGGCCACGCAGGGCGGGGTCGGTGCACCCGGCGCAGCGCGGCTGGGGGCGGGCGCCGAGCCTGAGCGCGAGTCCTGGGGCCGCTTCGCCCGCGCAACCTCGCTCCGGCCAACCTCGCCTGCCGCAGCCTAGCGGAGCCTCGCCAGCGCCCGCTCCCCGGCTCGGCCTGGGGTGGTCTCCAGGGGCGCGGTTCTGCACGTCTGCGGGGCTGGGCGCGACGGGCTCCAGGAAAGGAGGTGGGTGATGACAAGGGTCTAGGGCAGGGGGGCCGGCGGCTGTGATGGGCACCGGTGACTCCTGAGCGCCCTGCCGCCTGCTTTCTGCAGCCCCTTGCGCTTAAATGACCGCCTTCTCCAGCCCCGTGCATCTGGCCGCGCGAAATACTTTCAGTCCAGCCGCAAGTGCTGCCTGTAACAGGGGTAAGGGGCAGGTTTCCGTCCACCCACCATCCGACCCGGGACCCTGCAGAGCTGGCAAAAGACAGGCCGAGTGGCCTTACGACACCGAGCACACTCGGATCTTCCAGGCAAGCAAGCGTCGAGGACTATTTACCCCACCTTTTCCCTTCCTTCCTTCCTTTCTTCCCTTTTTCTTTTTGTTTCTGTTCTTTTCGTTTTCTATGAAGGGCTGCTGCGCCTCACGTGTGCCTGTGCACTTTGCTTCTTGTTTTGGTCTCCCCGGATGCGTTTTCCCGGCTGAAGTTTGTTGCTCTTCCCAACAAGTAACAGCTTGCTGCTGATGAGAAGTTCACTCAGAAATGAAGGTGCAGAAAGATAGGAAAGGAATGCAGGGAAACCAGATTGTCTGATTTTAGCCTGCATTTCGTTGTAAGGGAATCACCATCTATTGCCTAAAGGAGTGATATCTTCATCGCACAGGTTAGGAAAAGAAAAGACCGTTCATGTGATTGCCCAGTGAAACAAGCAGTAAGGGATCACCGTAAAAGAAAGGTTGCTTTCTTTATATACAAAACATTTTAAATAACAACCTCAAATCATAGCATTGGGGAAATTGTGGGGATCTTAAAGTCAAACAGTTCAATGCCACATTACAAGTTTGACTATGTCTTATTGTCTTTTTGCTGAGAAATATTTGTGTCAACTAGAAATGCTTAATAGAACCTACGGAGGGTTTATAGTCCCTGAGGTTTTAGTTTTCTTTCACATTGGCCTTGCAACATTATCAAGATAGTTTCCCAGTGTGGTGGATAAGAGTTTGAAGTTAGAAAGACCCGGATTTCTATCTGGGCTCTACCACCTAACTTGCTATGTGACTTCAGACAAGTTGCCTAACCTCTCTGAGCCTATGTGTCTGCGTTTCTAAATAAGGCTGCTAAGAGGATGAAGGGGATAACAGAAGATAACACAGAGCACATCATCCAGGGACTATGTAATAAATGATACCTGAAGCTGATGATGCTAGAGGCAAACAGGCCTAATGCTTGCAATCACTGCATGCCACTCCTCATGCAAGAGGGCTCTGCCTGGGCCTCTGTGCGTGGGGAGTAGAGGCGTTGCATCAGTGCATGCTTCTGGCTATGAAAACATGAGGAGCTACTTTTGAACTCTTGAATTTGACTCAAACACATAAAATCTGTGCTAAATCTGTTCGGAGTTACCGTGTTCAATTTATCTGTGTAGTGTATTTTGAGATTCTCTTATGCTTACACAGTTTCAAATGAACACAGAACAGATATGACGTTGGTTATTTAATTATTGTTTATTATTAAAAATAGTGGTCCTCGGAAGTCACCATAGTACCTGGCTTAATATTGATTTGGGCAGGTTAAAGGAAGGAACTGTGTCCTGAAGCTCATTTTTCACTTGGCTGTGTGAGCCACAGACCAGCATCATCTGGAGCTTATTAGAAATGCAGCCACCCCCCACCTGCAGAATAAAATCTGCATTTTAATAACCTCCTGGTGGATTCGTGTGCACTGTCAGTTAGAGAAGCCCTTTCTTAGGAGTCTGAGTGCATTGATGTTTCTCAAAAAAAGGCCTTATGAAAACAAGGATTTCTCAAAAGCTGTCCTTGCATAGTAAAGTGAAAAAGATTCATTATAATCATTTAAATGATTTTTACTTTAACTGTTTAAAACAGCCAAGAGCAGAACTTTCTCTTTAAAAGTAAGAGAGGGCTGACGCCTCAAGCTTTGTTTAAGTTCTGCCAATTTGAGGTTCTGGTGTTCCTGTTACCTGCTGAATCATTTCAGTTTTGATACTGCTTGGCTTCTTTTCTAGCTCCTCCAATGAAGCGAAAACTATGGGTTTGAAGTTCACAGCCCCGTCTGTACTGTGAAGAATGAGCTTTTTATGTTTATCAGTCCTGTTTTAAAATCTTTTGCTGAGGGTGTATCCAAAAACTTAATAGATGCATTTATATATCAATTTTTATATGATACAAAACAATAACTTAAGTAAGTCAAATGCATGGCCGCAATTATTAATGACCTATATCCTTATGTGCATTTAAGGGTAAACTATATATTACAATGACGGAAATGGGAATTATTTTGCATTGTTTTATATTTTAAGCTTTCATACAGGAAGATACCATCAATATTTGTGGGAGTAATATAATATTAATAATGTATATGTATTTGAGATGTTAGAGATAAAGGTTTTAATTACATTCTTTTTAAAAATCAACTTTATTGAGGTATAGTTTGCATACCATAAAATACACAGGTTTTAAATATACAGTTTAATGCATTTTACAGCATGCAAATTATACCTCAATAAAGTTGGTTTTCCAAAAGATAACATGAAGGATTGCCTATTGCTAGAATAGTTCAGAGAAGGTCAATAGAGAAGGAAAATGAAGATTGATACATCAGGCAAAGAAAATGCATAACCAGGTGATCCTGGAGGAATGAGTGAATGGAAAAATAATGTATGTAAATTTAGATGGTTTGAGATCATTTTTATAAGACTTTTTGTCTTTAACGTTAAGATGCTGAATTTAATATCTGGTCACTGTGAATCCTGCAGAGCTTTTTGAAGAGAAGGCTAAAATGAAAAATAAAACAAAAAACAATTTTGCTCGGCAGGGTCTGCGGGCACGTTCTGGTTTCCTACTCACATTCCAATCTGTGTCTGCCTTTGTGCTCGGCAGACACCAGCATTCGCCACCATGCTGTCATCCAGCGACTTTGCATCTGCTTCCTGGGAGCTCGTGGTCCACGTTGATCATCCCGACGTAGAGGAGCGGAGAGACATCACGCTGAGAGTGTCCGGAGACCTGCATGTCGGGGGAGTGATGCTCAAGTTAGTAGAACAGATCAGTAAGTTTCTCTTCCTTAATGGTTTCTCTGTACTGAAACTCCTTCTGTTGCCTCACAACTAAGTGGCTGGCCTAGGTTGTCTGATCATCTAGGTTTTTCTGATCATACTTCTTGTAATGGCCCAGAGAGCAAGTCCCCCCCTCTCCTAGGGGAGAGAGAGAAATAGGGGTTCGGCAAGAACTTCAGACTGAATTGCAACTATGCTTGTAAAAATTTGAGTCTTTGGTGGCAAACTGAAGTTCCCCAGCAGGTATAATGCTGTACTTCCACAAGGATGGGACCCATCCATTGGTGACGTCTAACTTTAGGTGACCTTAGGTGGCGTGGCATTAGACTATGTGTCAATTCTCTGTGAATACTCAATTGCTCAGTGATAAAGTCAGCTTGGAGCCAACGTGTCTTTTAACACTTATCCACCATTTGCTACTCTCCCTGTTTAAACAAAGAAAAAGAAGTCTTTAGGGGCAGATTCCTCACATGAGGAGTTAACACTATCAAATCTAGAATTTAATAACATTCCATTTTCTTTGTATTTATTTTACCTTCTACTAAGGCCTTGCATGCTGGCTTTTCACTCTAGTGAGATAAAGGTTTTTTTTAAGTGAGTCTTTATTGAAGTATAATAGAAATACCCAAACTGCACTTATCACGAGGGTACAGTTCAATGAACTTTCACAAAGCCATGAAACCACCACCCAGAGCAAGGAATAGAACATTACCTATTCCTCACCCTAACCCCACACCTGACCCCATCCAGTCGCTACTCTACCAAGGGTAGCCAGTATACTGACTTCTAACACCAGAGGAATAATTTGCTTGATTTTGAACTTGATATAAATCGATTTCTACTGCAGGATACACTCTGTCTTAGTCTGTTTGCATTGCCATAGAGGAAATACGGGAGGCTGGACAATTTGTAAAGAAAAGAGATTTATTTGGCTCACAGTTCTGCAGGCTGTCCGAGAAGCATGGTATCAGTGCCTGCTTCTGGTTAGGGCTTCAGGAAGCCTCCAGTCATGGCCAAAGGGGAAGGGGAGCAACATTACATGGCAAGAGGAAGGAAGCAAGAGACAGAAGAGGAGGTGCAAGGCTCTTTTCAACGGAATGGCACCAAGCCATTCACGAGGGATCGGCCCCATGACCTCAACACCTCCCTGCCCCCAACATTAAGGATCAAATTTCAATGTGAGATTTTGAGGGGACAAATATCCAAACTATAGCACACTCTTACACATCTACTTTCTTTCACACAATATACATATTTCTGTGAGATTTATCCATATTGTTATGTATAGTTTCCGTTCATTTATTTTCATTACTGTATAATATTCCATTGTAAGAATATGCCACAACATATTTGCCCATTTATTTCTTGGTGAACATTTGAGTTGTCTTCATTTTCAGACTCTTACAGACAGGGCTCCTGTAATACATGTCTTTTGGTGATCATTTCTATTGCATGTATAGCTCAAAAAGGAAATGCTAATTCATAGGGTTTTCCAGAACAGTTGTACCAGTTTATACTTCTACTAACAGCATCAAGCAAAAGATTGTCTAATTTAAAGAGAGATAAACCATTTTAAAAAATAATGAGTAAATAAATACACTGGTGGCTCTTAATTTAGCAAAATAAAAGATTGAATATTAATTCTAACATGGATGAAAAGAAAAGATTATATTTTCAAGCCAACACTGAAGGAGGAGAAAGATTAAATGTTGATGCTCACATTGAGAGGGAGAAAATATTTACTCTGATTTCAATGTCTGGGGATATGGTGGAACTAAGGAGAGTTGGCCATTCCTGAGAAGAATGAAATGTCGATTTTACAGCACCTTTGTGTGCTCTTTGATTAGGAGCTACTGTTCCTCCCTTGTGATACAGCGTTGTAAAGATCCATTTCTATAAGAGAAATAATCTTGACTGAACAACATCAAATGCTTTTGACCTTCCCAGAAAGGACCATGGCATGGAGGGATTTTTAAGGATGAGAACTTTAGCATTCCTCATGAACAAAAATTCCATGTTTCTGTTCCTCTACGGTACTTCCTTATAAATGATGGTAAGGTTCAGTCACTGTTTTCTCCTGCCCTCCCACCCAACTTGGAGACTTTAGAGAGAGGCCAAGAACTGTTGAGCCTTGAATTGTAGAAGGAGATGAGGGGCTGAAGACCAGTTGTTGGTTTCAGTTTTTGCACACAGCAAAATTGACTCTAGGACACTCAGACCCTCCAGGCTCACTCTCCTTTTACTTAACTGCGTTTTCCGTTTCTGCAGACATACCCCAGGACTGGTCAGACTTTGCTCTTTGGTGGGAACAGAAGCACTGCTGGCTTCTGAAAACCCACTGGACGCTGGACAAATACGGGGTCCAGGCAGATGCAAAGCTCCTCTTCACCCCTCAGCACAAAATGCTTCGCCTTCGCCTGCCGAACGTCAAGACCGTGAGATTGCGAGTCAGCTTCTCGGCCGTGGTTTTCAGAGCTGTCAGTGATATCTGCAAAACCCTGAGTGAGTACCCTGAAGAAGCCCCTGTGCCCTTTGCACTCTCCGCAAAGGAAGGCAGGAAAGCTAGGTGCGAATTCTGCCTACTTCAAGCAATTGGCTGGAGAATGCTCCCTTGTTAGGAAGCACGCTTGGCAGCCCAGGCCCGGGTGCTGCAGCCACGTAAGTGGAGTTGAACAAAATCGAACATTATTGGTATAAATCAGACTCTCTTCTACAAAGCTTAAAACTATTTCAAAAGAGATTTGTAAACAGACTAGACAAATCATTACGATTACCACCCCACAAAATTTATTTCCCCAAAATGTGTGTCTATGTACTAGCAGTGATTGAAGCCCAGTGGGGAGCACATGAAACAGGTATTATACTATTCCCTTTGCTTTGGCTGTGTTTGAAATATTTGCATAATACATTGTTTTAAATAAACTAGAAATTTTACTAGACTAAATCTCCCTCCACTGTTTACTCCCCCCACTCACTTTGGAGGGTCTCTCCTCCTCGTTTGATTTCTTCAAAGGGGATGCAATTTGGTTCCATTTACTTCTCAGGCATTTCCTGAGAAATGGTTTCAAATGCACAAAATGATGCTGAGTCTTTGGAGGAATTTTCTTTTGACTTTTGTTTTTTTTTCCTTTTGTTATTTGTTATTTTATTTTATTTCTAGATATTAGAAGATCAGAAGAACTTTCCTTGTTAAAGCCTTCTGGTGACTATTTTAAGAAGAAGAAGAAGAAAGACAAAAATAATAAGGAACCCATAATTGAAGATATTCTAAACCTGGAGTGTTCTCCAACAATTGCAGGTCCACCAGGTTAGATTTGTGACAGGTGTTTTGTTGTATTAATTTGTGAATGTAGAGTAGAGCCCAAGAGGAAAATATGCTTCTCTCCACCCACTTCCAAACAGAGGAAGAATAAAATTGCAAGATTGATGTGATAAGGAAAAGATATACAGTTAAGTTTAGAACTAACAGAAATTCATTTCAGACTTTTTTCAACAGGTATGCATAATAACTCATTATTTTAATTGTAGATCTTATGTTGCTGATGAATGCAAAATTTTAGTACAACTCACTGTGAATTGGGGATAAAAGGATTAAAGAATGATATTCAGAAAAAAGATAAGTTAAATCAGGCCGGGTACGATGGCTCACACCTATAATCCTAATACTTTGGGAGGCCAAGGTGGGAGGATCACTTGAGCTCAGGAGTTCCAGACGAGCCTGAGCAAGAGCAAGACCTCGTCTCTACTAAAAATAATAAAAATTAGCTGGATGTGGTGGTGCATACCTGTAGTCTCGACTACTTGGGAGGCTGAGGCAGGAGGATCATCTGAGCTCAGGAGTTTGAGGTTGCTGTGAGCTAGGCTGACACCATGGCACCCTAGCCCAGGCGACACAGTGAGACTCTGTCTCAAAAGAAAGATAAGTTAAAATATTCAAATGTACTTCTCTATTCCTGAGTCTATCTCTGTGTGATTTTTTTCCTGAATTCAGTTTTTCATGGGGCATGCAAGAGGAAGGCAGGTAAAAATTCTGGAGAAGGATTAAATATCATCCTTTTCTTTTTATATAAAAATAATCAAATCTCTAGCTTGCTTGCAAGACTGAGGGCTTTCTTACATAGTATATTCCAATGCAAAGAACAAAAGGAGTATTTGTTCTTTCCTTATGCAAATTAGAGCCAGATGATTTAAAAATCATTCATCTACTGGATTCTTAAAATCAGTGAATGCTGCTATTTGCTTAAGGAGCTGACACGTGTTGTGTACATGCATTCTGTGAGGTCTCCAGGTCTCTGGTAGTACCAGGACTCCTGCTGAAATAGGAAAACTTTGAATTATTAGAAAAGAGGTGGTCCCCAACATTTGTCTGTGTTGATTTTTGGAAGCTTTTACATATCTGAATTCTTGAGCTTTCTGGGAGCTGAATATACAGATAAGACCTTTATCTGTGTGTCACTAATCTCTCCACTATCGTGACTCATATTATTTTTTTTCCATGTCTTTGCTCTTTTTTTATTGCAGAATATTATGGGGGAACAAATGTTTTGATTACATGAATTACTTTTGTACAGTTTGAGTCAAAGTTATAAGATAGTGTGCATTGTACCTGTTGGGTATGAATTTACTCATCCGCTCTTCCCCCTGACTCATGTTATTTTAAATGGTATAGACTTTTAAAGTCAAAATTCATTTGAGTGTAAGTAATGTTAGTATTTTTCTAAAGATTTCTGCTCCCCAGATTTCATATCACAGGGTGTGCCCCCCTTGCCTTGCAGTAAGTCCTGGCTTGTACAGTAAAACCATGACTCCTACATACGACCCCATCAGTGGAACGCCAGCTTCCTCCACTATGACTTGGTTCAGTGACAGCCCTTTGACGGAACAGAACTGCAGCGTCCTCGCATTTAGCCAGCCTCCCCAGTCGCCAGAAGCGCTCACCGATATGTACCAGCCTCGGTCTCTGGTCGATAAAGCCAAGCTTAATGCAGGGTAAGGATGCGGCTCCTTGTGCCTCACTCTGAGCTGGTGCTAACGTAGGAAGAGAGATAGGGGTAGGAGTGTTTCATTGTCAAGTCGGTAGGCCTGGGAGTTGTACTTTATGAGCAAAAAGTCAGTGCTGATTTCTGCAACAAAGCGGGAAAATGCAGCCTCTGGTCATCTCAGTACGTTTAAAGCATGACAAAATGTACGCATTTGGGTAACTCAACGGATGACCATCTGTGCATACTAATTCTCTGCCACTACAGGTGTGCAAAGCGTATTTTATGGGATGCAGAGTGGTTTGTAAGTATGTTGGTCCCCCTGGGCCAGCAGGGGAGACTTAGGGTGGCCCACCTGGCTCACATCGTCTCTTGTGGAACACCCCTTCTCTCTTTAGGCGTTCTGATGAGCAAGTCCTTGAGCTGTGTTTGATACGGTCTCAGAAAACATGCCCAAACTGTTGCTCAAACTGCCATATTTTTTTTTTTGCTCCCCCTTGCTCACCAAATAAAGTCGAACTTGTTAACAGCACTCAAGTCCCTATAAGACTTGGTGCCGGCGGATGACTCTGCACTCTCCCATGCTCTCCTGTCCCACATCCTGCCCAGGTTCACACTCGCTCTTTCTGCCACTGCCTCCTCTCCAGGACTGTCCCCTTTGCCTACTGGTCAGTCCCTCCTTGCCCCGTAAGGCCCAGCCACATGCTGCCTCCTCCTCCTCAAGTATCGCTGTTCAGAATCGGTCACTCCCCTGTGGTTCTGTTCTAAAATTTTGCTTACTCCAATGTCACATTGTCCCTTTATTATGAGGCTTGGTCTCCCCCCACTGGACTGTCAACTTCTTCAGGATGGCAGTTATGTCTCGTCATCCTTGTTCCCCCACAGGGCCTCATGTAGTGGAAGTTCAAGCCATTTTTATTCAATGATACTGGGTGACGCTCAGCCCCTTCTTATTTTGTTGTTAACTTTTAATCTCCACCCCCCGCTGCCCTCACTGCTACTCAGTTTTTATTTCTCAACTCTAGAACTGTACTCTCCAACACAGGAACCACTGGCCACATGTGATATTTAAATTTAAAATTTGAATTTAAATAAATAAAATTAAAATGTGGTGCTAACCACCTTTAAATATCCAGCAGCCACATGTGGCTAAGGGCTCACGTATTCACACAGATAATGAATATTTCCCTCACTGCAGAAATTTCTAGGCAATAAGGTAGAGCTGGCTTTGGGGAGAGCCCCCTGGCACAGTAGAGAGGCAGTGCACGCAGTCAGGAGGTCTCGCGTGCTGGCTTTACTACCAGGCCCATGACCTTGAGAGATCATCTAATGTCACTGAGACTAAGTTTCCTAATCTGTAAAACCGAGATAATAAGAACTTCCCTGGCTCCTTCTTTGGGTTACTTTAAAGTGTCAGTGAGAAAAACCTATATAAAGCACTTTGAAAACTCTTAAAATAAAATGCAAAATTATAAGCTATTATTATGTGCTTACTGGTTTGGGGTTATATAGGTTGAATATCCCTTATCCAAAATGTTTGGGACCATAAGTATTTTGGATATTTTTCCTAAATTTTTCCAGATTTTACAATATGTGCATTATACTCACTGATTAAGCATCCCTAATCTGAAAAATGTGAAAGTCAAAATACTTCAATGAGAAGTTCCTTTGAGCATTCATGTCAGTACTCAAAAAGTTTCAGATGTTGGAGCATTTTGGATTTCAGATTTTCAGATTAGAGGTACAGATTCAGTCTGTATTACTTACTCTGACTTTGCTCAAGGATATAAATTATATGTAATATACAATATATAGCATAATATGATGGACATACATGGAAAATCAATTGGCTATTGAAACTCATCCTGTTTTTTAGTTGGCTGGATTCCTCACGCTCCCTCATGGAACAAGGCATCCAAGAAGATGAGCAAGTGCTGTTACGATTTAAATACTACACTTTCTTTGACTTGAATCCTAAAGTAAGAAACTTTTTCTGTTTCTCTCTCCAGTGAATGCATGGAAATGTAAACTTGAGTCATTGGTTATCGAGACTAGCATTAATTTATGTGATCTTGAGTTTTGCTCTGCAGGGTTTGACTGATACATGTATACTCGTCTCTGAATTTTTATCTTTTGGTTTCTAATGAGCGTGGCAAGCTGCCCCTGAGTGGGCAGGGGTCTGTGTGGGGCTTTGTGCCCAGCACGGTGTGCACTGCCCCTCTGCATTTGCAGGAATGGAGAAATGCAAAGAGAGTGGCTCACAGAGCTGGAGTCCTTAATGCTTAGGAAGGAAAGGAGTGTGTTACCTGTTCAAATTTGTGCCCTATCTGTTATTTATTTATTATATTAAGCAACTACCATATGCCAAGAACTAAGCCAGGTACTGAAAACCCCAACTGTCGTCTATTAATGTTCACAAATGAATGAAATAAAATACGTAGGATTGCAAAATGAAACAGTTATGTTGAACAGTAGTGACCAAAATCTTTTTCAAAATGGATATGGTAACATAGTAACATATATTTTGGGAGTTTTTTTTGTTTGTTTGTTTGTTTTTGTCTTTTTCTGAGACAAAGTCTCACTCTGTTGCCCAGGCTAGAGTGCCATGGCATCAGCCTAGCTCACAGCAACCTCAAACTCCTGGGCTCAGGTGATCCTTCTGCCTCAGCCTCCCGAGTAGCTGGGACTACAGGCATGTGCCACCATGCTGGCCAATTTGTTCTATATATTTTTAGTTGGCCAATTAATTTCTTTCTATTTTTTTAGTAGAGACGGGGTCTCGCTCTTGCTCAGGCTGGTTTCGAACTCCTGACCTTGAGCGATCCTCCTGCTTCGGCTTCCCAGAGTGCTAGGATTACAGGTGCTAGGATTACAGGCGTAAGCCACGTTGCCTGGCCATGGTAACGTATTTTTAGTTAATTGAATGAATAAGACCTGGTGGCAGGCCTCATAGCCACCATAATTCCAAAGTCGTGATGTGTGTGGGCATTACTTGATGACAGCAGCAATAATTGTGGTACAGTAGGAAAAAAAGTCTGTGATTCTGGTGATCACAAAGGGACAAGTACTCTGCAATACCATAGTTCATTGCCTACATTCATCGTGGGAGGAAAAAAATTTCCATGACAGTTAGGGGCAAGTGAAGATGTAGTGTTTCCTTCTCTGAGCTTGTGGACCACCTGTACTCAAACTCCCAAGTCCAAGGACCCCAGATTTAGAACCCCTGTGCCAAGACCACATTCAGATCCTACTCCTTCTAGAGAAGAGCTTTTCCCTACTCTGGGTCACATGAGCCATTCCCTTCTTTGAGCCACAACTAAGTACTACGCAATTTCAGGACTCATACCTCTAATCACACCGTATCTGTGGGGTTTTTCCTACCAGTAGACACTAAGTTCTTGGGAACAGAGAACACATATCTGGCACTTCTTTTGCCTCCCCCTCCCCACCTCCCCCAAGCTGCAAAGATGCTGTGAAAGTCAGAAGTTCCCAATTTAAGCACCTGAGCAATGGTAGAGTCACCCGGCCCTTGGGAAGCCTTCAGCAATTTCCTTGCTAAGTGATTCCTCATTAAATCCCCTGCTTCAGAATTGGCCTTAAGCTCAAAAGAAGGCAACTCAGTCATCTACCCCTGAAAAAATTGTCAGGAACACAGAAGTGACTTCACAGTCACAGAATCCAGACATGGCAGGCCATGAGAATAAATATCAAACAGGGAGGAATAGCATTAAATATGCATTTGTCTAAAAGGTAGAAGAAATCAAAGGAATTGTACTCCCAAGAGGGGACAAGGACACTGAAGGTGAGGGGCACAGGGGCTGTCATCTTAAGCTCTTTGGCCTCCAGCCTCTGCTTGCATATGGGATGAGAAGTTCTCACTTCATAGCCTGTAAAGTGAACCTCGTTTGAATCTAATAGCCACATGGCAGCTGTCAACCCCAAAGGTGACAGAAAGAATTAGGTTAGCAGGACACAGCTTAGGGGTATGAGAATGGGGATCCCCAAGCACTTTAGAGTTGTGGTGGTACTCCCTCTCGCCCTTCTTCAAATTACAAGTTCTATAAATAAAACCAAGTTTAAGACTCCTACTATGCACTGAGTAGATATAGGGGGATATAAAAAAAAGATGTAGCTCATGTTTTCATAATCTAAAATCAAATCAAGAAGAGCAAAGAGGTCAGGTACAGTGTCTTATGCCTATAATCCCACTACTTTGGGAGGTCAAGGCAGGAGGATCACTTGAGGCCAAGAGTTCAAGACCAGCCTGGGTAATGTAGCAAGACCCTATCTCTACAAAAAAAAAAAAAAAAAAAATTGAAAAATTTAGCCAGGAATTCGAGACTACAGTGAGCTATGATCATACCACTGCACTCCAGCCTGGGCAACAAAGTGAAACCTTGTCTCAAAAACAATAACAAAAAAAAGAGAGCAAAAGACAGCACCCATGAAACCACTGCAAATATACAAGGCACCTTAAAAATAGAAAATAAATTCTACAGTGAGAAGTGGGAAGTTTCTCTGGCTTGCACAGGAGAGATGCGTATAAGACATACATCCGAAGTAATCTCAGATATATAAAATACTGGAATATAACATTTCAAAAATAATATATTCAAAAAATGCAAAAGCCAGAATTCATAAAAGATTGGTAGATTTTATTTAAAAATAAAAATTTTAATCATGCCAAAAAACTGTACACAAAAAAACATACAAAACATACTACAGTACAACACATACTACAAGCAAAAGGCTAATTTCCCTAATATATAAAGAGTTCCTATGGAACAATAATAAAAAGACCAACAACCCAGTAGACTAGTGGACACAGGATATAAACACATAGTGCATAGAAAGGGAACTACAATCGCATATAGGGCAAAGCTTAAAAAGTTTCACATGCTATCTTAGCAAAAATGTGGCAAAACAGGTTCTCTTACACACTGCTTATAGGTCAAAGTACAAATTAATCTAGCCTCTATGGAAGGCAATTTGGCAGTATCTATTGGAATTACAATTCTACATAACTTTGACCCAGTAAGTCCACTCCTAGGTATTTATACCACAGTCATACTCACACATGCAAATTGATGTGTATACATAAGGACCACGATTACTGTGAATACATTGTTTGTTTTAGGAAAACATTAGAAACCACCTAAATTTCCATCAGTAGGGAACTGGCGAAATACATTATGATACATGCTGTTGTTAAAAAACAAAAAACTGAATCAGCTCTCTTTTGATACGGAACATACTCAAGGTATATTGTTATTTTTTATGAACCTTACATCACAAACATATCAAGGTATATTATTAAATGAACAGAGTAAGATGCAAAACAATCCATAGAGAAACTACTATTTGTGGGAGACAAGGGAGGGAGACTAACTTTTTATTGAATATCTTGTTGTCCCTTTTGACTTCATCAAAATGAATTTGTTCATGATAAACCCTTTTGCCCCTTTAAATGTGTTCAAAGTGTGTGAATTGAAAAAAACACAAAAAACTCTTTATAACTTTGATAGTTCATAATATTTTAATTTGGAGTAGAGAAAAACACATCAGCTTTAACAAGAGACCTGGAGGATAGTGAAAGCTGTTATCAGGCCAACAGGGAATCTTGAGTGACTGGAGCTAACTCGTAACTCCTTCTTAACAGAGTGAAAACTATGATCGGTAGGTTTCGTTATCTGTATTGCTGGTTGGTAGAAGTATCTAGTTATGACATCTTATTCTAGATCTTGTTTTTCTCTTAATGCTAATTTGTAAATGTAGGTAACTTTTATTTAACTAATATTCTTTCAAAAAAGAAAGAATATTTGTGGGGGAGAATAAGAATATTCAGGTGTGGAAGGTTTTATTAAATTTTTACAGTCTGGCTAGGTGCAGTGGCTCTTGCCTGTAATTCTAGCACTTTCAGGGGCTAAGGTGGGAGGATTGCTTGAGGTCAGGAGTTTAAGACCAGCCTAAGCAAACTAAGCAACATAGTAAGACCCTGTCTCTACAAAAAAATAGAAAAAGTAGTGGGGCATGGTGGCACATGCCTGTAGTCCCAATTACTCAGGAGGCTGAGGCAGGAGGATTGCTTGAACCTAGGAGTTTGAGGCTGTCGTGAGCTATGATCATGCCATTGCCCTCATATCTGAGCAACAAAGTGAGACCCTGTCTCTAAAGAATATATAAGTAAATAAATCTTTATTAACTGCATTTTAGAGAAGCCTTATTGAGTAACTTAACTTACTCCCAATAAGGCACCTACAGTATTAGAACTGTAAACACTGGAACTGAGTGACAGACACACAGACTGCTAGGTACAGGTTTGTTAATCCAATGCAAATTTCTTTTTTTTTTATACAGAGTCTCACTCTGTCACCCAGGGTAGAGTGCCGTGGCATCAGCCTAGCTGACAGCAACCTCAAACTCCTGGGCTCAAGTGATCCTCCTGCCTCAACCTCCTGAGTAGCTGGGACTACAGGCGCAAGCCACTACGCCCGGCTAATTTTTTGTTTCTAATTTTAGTTGTGCAGCTCATTTTTTTTCTATTTTTAGTAGAGACAGGGTCTCACTCTTGCTCAGGCTGGTCTCAAACTCCTGAGCTCAAGCTTTCCTCCCGCCTCGGCCTCCCAGAGCAATTCAAATTTCAGTGGCTGCACACACTCACACACTATTTAGAGTTTGTGTGTAAACTGTGAATTAAAGCAGGGGTCTTTGGGGGGCAAGGGTGGCTGCATGTTTCTTTGGGGTGCATTATGTGTGTGGTTTTCTTAGTTGTCATGTCTCAGTTGCACTATAATGTCCATACCATAAAATTCGCCCATTATAAGTGTATACTACAGTAATTTTTGGTATATTAAACAGGTATGCCACCATCCCCACAATCCAGTTTTTAAAAACTTCCATCACCCAAAGAAGTTGGTGAGAGATGTTCCCTTCAGTTATCTGAACTGAAGGTTCTGATTAACAGAGGATAGTCTCAGTTATTCCAGAATTTTCATACTGTGGAATATAATAAATATACCCCTCCCCACATATACACACATATCTGTTTTTTTCTCTAGTACGATGCTGTCCGGATAAACCAACTTTATGAACAAGCCAGGTGGGCCATTCTCTTAGAAGAAATCGACTGCACAGAGGAAGAAATGTTGATCTTTGCAGCACTACAGGTATGGGAACTCCTCTACCTTTTCTCTAGAAGGAGACGAACCAAGTTTGTTGTGCTTAAAGTTTTGTATTCTTCATACTATTTTTTTTTCCCTTTGACAAAAGAGTATCATCCGCACATGTGCACCTTTTATGTGAGGCATTTAGTCTTGCAATTTTTATCCCTTCCCTGCTACAATCAGTGGTGGGGAAAAACCAGATGTGAACACGACTTGCCATATATCTCAGAATGATTCAGATTAAAATGTCATTTTCCATGCACAGGAGGGAGCTCTCTTTTCAGGAGATGTTCAGTATTCCAAGGGAATTGTCTTCAAGAAAGAAATGGCTGATGGGTTAGTGTGTGTTTGCAAAATATCTAAAACCTCTGTTTTCATTTTAGTATCACATTAGCAAGCTGTCACTGTCCGCTGAAATACAGGATTTTACAAATGAGTCTGAGGTTGACGAAGTGGAAGCAGCTCTTTCTAATTTGGAAGTGACCCTAGAAGGTGGAAAAGTGGACAACACGTTGGTAGGAACCTTTCTGATAACCCAGAGTTGTGGCTTTGCTCTAACTGATTGACGAATATAAATGGACCTTTGTTTTTTAGAAATAAGAGAATATTTCATCTGATTTTAAAAAAAGAAAAGATGCTTTTCACCTGACAAGCTTCAACTTAGCAAGAACTAACCGGCTTTTCTGAGATTGGCTTTGAAAGGGGCTATATTTCATTTCTACTACTAACAATATTTTGTATTTCTTTTTCGGGATAAGTTGGCATGGTGTGAGGGAAAGACTGTAGAGGGCTCTGCTTCACTGGCGTGGAACATGGACTTGGTCCCTTAAGTCTAGAAAGAAACATTCCGTCTATTGCACGGGGCAGCTGTGAGACTAGAGAAAATGCTTTCCAGATCTAACATATTATCTATTTACCTTGTCGTACATTTAAGCTGGGCGAGCTTGGTAGAAGTGAGGGCCTTTTGCTGGGACATTGTAAAAAGTTCCTGAACCCTTTGGACTTCAGAAAATAAACAAAAAACCTCCAATAAAACATAAAGAAATAAAACTGTTTTATCATCTCTTGCTCCTTATCCCTGAAATGTGGCTGAATGTCAGCTTTATAATTGGAATGCCCCTCCTGTTTAATTCACTCATTGGGTGCCACCTTTTTGTTTAAGATCTTCAATCATGGGAGTAATTATTAGTTTAATCACATTGGATCAGAGAGGTGGGTCTGTCGTAATTGGATCTGAAGTAATAATGGATAGAGTGAGCCGCTCTATTCTTAGGAATTCGTTGTGTGCTTTTTTTATCATTGCATGTTGTAAAATAGGAAATTGGTATCATGCAAGACCAAATACTTAATACAAACTAAATGCCAAAATTCTGCAGAGATGAGACTTGGGCTCCAGGAAATTGGAGTTCTCTTGTATCTACTTTCCCCAAAAGGAAAGTGATTCTTCTTAAAATAAATGAAAAATTCTCTCCTCCCTCCTTCAATACTTTTATGTGGCACTAACTAAACAATAGGCTTTCAGTTTGAAAACAGGCACCAACCTGCATTGCAGAATGAACTTTGAACCAGGTTCCTTTTGAGAGCTTAATCAGTGACCTAGATTTAGCTAGAGCTACCCACTGTAATGTAGCAATCATAAAATATTTTGTTTCTACGTAAAAGTGATCATTGCTAACTCAAACATTTAACGTGAATGGTAGCTACGGGGACTGCTTGGTCAATTTTTTTAATCTATTTTTTTTATGATCTATAATATATACAGAAAAGTGAAAAACACATAAATGTACATCTTAACAAATTGGTATTAAGTTGTCACCCAAGTCACCACCCAAATCAAGAACTAGCACTTTGTCAGCCACCTCAGGTCCCCCTGCATGTACTCCATTACCCCCCACCACCACCACAAGGTAACTATAGGAAATGTGGCTAATGTAACTAAGTAACTGAGTTTTTCATTTTATTTAATTTTAACTAGTTCACATTTAAATAGCCATACACAGCAAGTGGCTGCTGTATTGGACAGTACAAGTTTAGAGTACTGGCACCACTTAAGAAGTTCCTGTTTATGAAATGTTATCTGTTTTTCCTTAGGAGGACATTACTGATATCCCTAAGCTTGCAGATAATCTCAGATTATTTAGGTAAGTAACTTTTAAGGAGAGAAGGAGTTACTCATAACAAAGCCCTTCAGATAAATTATGCAGGAGTTTGAATTGCACATTCCCAAGGCAGGTTCACGGTTCAAAGGTAAGAGCATGGGCTTTGGTATCAGACAAACAATGGGTTGAATCTTAGCTGCACCACACACACACACTAGCTGGATAAGCTTGGGCAATGTTTTACATCTCTGAGCCTCGGTTTTCCAATCTGTAAAATGGGAATATACCTCCCCTTGGGTTTATTGGGAGGATTAGGTAAAATAGTACATATGAAGCATTTAGCGTGTTGTCTGGCTCCTAGTATGTGCTCAATAAATGGTGATATACACATGGCCAGTATCTGCAATAATAAACATATCTATCTGCCAGCCTGGAGTTTCTATTAGGGTCCATCGTGGAGATTCAGGACTCTGACATGATTGGAAGGCTCTTTTAGATTATAGTTTCAAATTGACTTGTTTCCAGAACTTTGATTGTAGGCTTATAGAGAGTAGTCATTTTAGTTTATCTACTTTCGCCTGTTTAAGTACTTCTGATAAATGCCCTAGTCACCTCAGGCTGACCTAGAACTGCTAATAAGTCAGAGAATGGTTTATTGCCTTGGAAAGAAAGAATTTCCACCTCTGTGATGGTGCCAAGGTGTGTTAGGATGAAAGAAAGAAAGCTCTTTGAAGTGCTCTCAGTTCCTTATGTCACTTTATGGTTTGTTGACTTTTCTTAACAAACCAGCACTTCGCTGGGGCAGTTGGCTTTAAAAGAAACACGGGCTGCCTCTGATAACACATGATGCAAAGAAAGACCTGGAAAGAATGAACAGTGAATCAGGTATGAATGAGAAACAAGTGTAGCAATAGGTAGCAATAGCGGGCACTGGGTTCCTATGAGTTTGTTTTTGGTTTTTTTCTTTTTTTTTAATGTGATTGTAGGATGTGGTCTCAAACAATAGAGTCATTCATTTAACTTCCGTGGCATAAATAATTGCAACCGCAATTGACTCATACTGTTGTAGTCAGAGCTACAGAAAAAAAGTGACAATTTGAATCCACAAATTTATCTTTATAAAGTATTCATAATTGTTCTGCAAAGAAATTGGGTTTCCATCTTCTCTGTATGGAGCAAATCAAGCTCTTCATCAACCAAACAGTGACATTTTCCTATAGATGTTTTCAATGACGGAGATGCATCGTTTACACTTCTCTGAGCTTTTGTTGTGACTGTTATATTCAGACTCATAAAACTGTCCTCACATTTGGCCAATAGACCTTTTAACTACCAAAAGTCTCAAGCTCTTGAATTTAATATATGATATAGTTTATGGAAGGAAGAAACAAAGAAAGGAAGGAGAGAGAGAAATAAAGAGTAGGAGGGGGCAAGATTGGAGAGTAGAGCTCTATTTCTGGTGGGGGTGTGACCGCTAACAGGCCCTTCAATTTTCTGGGCCTTCTTTCTTCATCAGTTTAAGAGCCTTGGTCTAGTACTTTGATTTTTAAGTTTTTTCTTTTACAGTGGAGCACTTTTCTAAACAAAGTCTATTAAACCTACTATATAAATCAGACATCCTCAAACTACGGCCCGCAGGCCACATGCAGGCATTTTTGCTCGTTTGTTTTTTACTTTCAAAATAAGATACGTGCAGTGTGCATAGGAATTTGTTCATAGATTTTTTTAAACTATAGTCCGGCCCTCCAACGGTCTGAGAGACAGTGAACTGGCCACCTGTTTAAAAAGTTTGAGGACCCCTGATATAAATAGTGGACTTCAGTTTCTAGCAACATATCATCTGCTCTAATGCCAACCACAATCTTGCTATAAATACGTATGAATGTTGGATAAAATAAAAATAAAAGAATTATAAATACAAAATTGATTATGAAGTGAAGCAGAAATTCCAACTTGCAGGAAATAGAGAGGGAACTAGTTCTACCAGGGAAGCCTCATCTGCACAGGGGGCTTTGGGGCATGAACATAGGTTCTCATGGCTTGAGGCTGGGATGTTAATTTCCCTATAGGGATGGAAGATGCAGGTTAAGGCCTGTGTAATGCAGGAAGCCAGAACTGAAGCACAGGCCTGAAGGTGGAAACTTACAAGCATTGCCTTCTCTGTTTAATGGGGAGTAGAAAAGCTACCTAGCAGCAAGAGAAAGCAATAAGGAAGTTCACCTTTGCATGGGGTTCTGTGGGGAAATGAAAATTCTCTCCTGAGAGATCAGAGGCAAGGCTGTGCCACACACAGGTGTGGATATGAATTTAAATGTCTTATGTGATATGAGAATCCTAACAAAGTGAAATAGAAACTGGCCAGGACCACAAAACCTAGGAAACCCTGGCAAATGTAGTTGTAAAAATACTTAGCAGGAAATATCCACAACCAAGAATGGTTGGGCCTTTGATGGAAAACAATCACATCCTAAAAAAACATGAGTTCCCAATAAAAATTACTAACCATGCAAGTTAATGAATCACAGAAGAGATGTAGACCCAACAAGCAACAGGATTAGCAGTTCCATTAACTTTAGGTAATCATATAATCTGAAGAAACCATAAGTATGTTTGGAATCATAAAATTAAAAAGTAAAAATTATAATAAAAGAGAACAACAGGCAATATATTGAAAATGAAGCAAATAGAAATTCTAAAAGTAAAAAATACAGTCAAAGACATTTAAAACTTATTAGGTGTATTAAACATCAAGTTAAAAAAACACAGTTGAAGAGAGAACTCGAAAAGATAGAAGTGAAAAATGTGATCTAGATGGAATGAGAAGGTCCAATATATATTTACTAGGAGTTCCAGAGGAAAACCTTCAGGAGAGAATACTTGAGAATTTTCCATAATTGTTGAAGACAAAAATCCTTAAATTCGAGTATCACTAACGATATAAATGCACATCTTGGTAAGGCCAACCATTGATAAGAGAAAGTCTTTAAAATCAAAGGGGAAAAAAAAGATTTCCTACAGAGGAGCAACAGTTAGGTGGGAGTAGTCATCTCATTGGCAACAAATACAACCTAGACAAGAATACAGAATATGCTAAAAGAACCATCAATCTAGAATTTTATGCCCAACCAGTCTTCCAAGAGTCTACTTGTTGCAAATCCCTGAGTATAAACCACACAAGATACAATCCTACCAGTAAATTACATATTCAACATAAACAATGGTTTATGCCAAAACTATAAGGTGTACCCACTGTTAGATGACTTACATAGTGTGCTACAAGAGTTATCAGGGTGACATTTTATAAAAATAAGATTCTTAAAATATAGAAGAATCTTTATAATACTTCATAGAGAGATTGCAAATAATCATGAACATTTTTGGTCCCATAGTAAGACTCACTGGTTTTCACATGGAAAAGTACCTGTAAGTAAAGTTACGCATTTTTGTTTTATAAAAAAATAATTGCTCCAACATGGATGGAACTGGAGGACATTATGTTAAGTGAAATAGGCGAGGAATAGAAAGTTTCCATCACATGTTCTCACTTTTATGTGGAATCTGAAAAACGATATTATAGAAGTAAAAAGGAGAACAGAGGATAGTAGAGTCTAGAAAGAGTAGGAGGAAGAGAGAGATTTGTTAAAGCATTACAGCTACATAGGAGGAATACCTATACCACTTTAGGATGATTATAGTTAATAATAATATATCTTTTCAAATAGCTAAAAGGAGGATATTGAACATTCCCAACACAAAGAAATGATGAATGTTTGAGATGATGGATATGCTAAGTACCTGATCATGAGTTTGAGGCTGCAGTAAGCTATAATGGGGGCCTCTGCACTCCATCCTGGGTGACAGAGGAAAACCTTCTTGTCTCAAAAAAAAAAATCTTTTAAGAATGCCTTGGGTCAAATGCCTTTTTAAAAAAAAATGAAAGAAAGGAAATAAAATTTAAAAATAGGGCCTGGTGGGATTACTCGCTCACACCTGTAATCCTAACACTTTAAGAGGCTAAGGCAGGAGGCTAGAAATTGCTTGAGGCTAGAAATTCGAGACCAGCCTGGACAACATAGCAAGACACTCTCTCTACAAAAAATTAAAAAATTAGCCTGGCATGGTGGCAAATGCCCGTAGTCCCAGCTACTCAAGAAGCTGAGGTAGGAGGATCACTCGAGCCCGGGAGTTTGAGGTTGCTGTGTGGTATGATCATGTCACTGCACCCCAGCCTGGGCAATAGAGTAAGACCCTGTCTCAAAGAAAAAGAAAGAAAGAAACTTAGGTTTAGAGAAATGTTTTTTAAAGTAAATGTTCTAAATTTATCACCTTTCTGTGATGACACATGGCTATCAGTAGTAAGCTCCCAGAAGTTTTCAAAATAATAAACACATTTAATCTCTCCTTTGAGGAAAAGGTAGCCGGGCGCGGTGGCACATACCTGTAATCCTAGCACTCTGGGAGGCCAAGGCGGGAGGATTGTTTGAGCTCAGGAGTTCGAGACCAGCCTTAGCAAGAGCTAGAACCCGTCTCTACCAAAAATAGAAAGAAATTAATCAGACAACTAAAAATATATAGAAAAAATTAGCTGGGCATGGTGGCGCATGCCTGTAGTGCCAGCTACTGGGGAGACTGAGGCAGGAGGATCACTTAAGCCCAGGAGTTTGAGGTTGCTGTGAGCTGGGCTGATGCCACAGCACTCTAGCCTGGGTGACAGAGCGAGACTCTGTCTCAAAAAAATAATAATAATAAGTAAAAGGTGATTGTAGAATAAGTTAGAACATAATCGGTTTTTGAAAGATATTAATGCTGTAAAGAGAGCCTTTTGAAACCAGTTATTTGGAAATATTTACGAGGTTACATTATTGTCAATAATAATACTGCATATCTGGAAGAGAAAATAAATAAAAAAATAATAATAATAATACTGCCTATTAAAAAAACAAATACTGTACGATCTCACTTATAATCACTTATATGTGGAATCTGATGTAGTCAAATTTATAGCAGTAGAGAGTAGAATGGCGAGAGTCTGTCTGCCTCTTATGTATGTCGCTCATTCACCACCAGTATCTCCTCCACTCCCCCTTTCCCAGCCTGCCCCACCCACCCTCTGGAGCACAGAATGGAGAATAGCTACTAGCTTTGTTAGTGTGTTGGAAGCAGCCTGGAAGATGAACCAAACTGGAAGGAGATAGTGGGAGGAATTTGAGCTCTTAAGGTCCAATTAAACCGAATTCTAAAGAGAAATATTTAGATGCCTAGGAGTAAACCAAGACCTTGCTATCCACATCTTTGGGTCATAGGCTGTGTCCTTAGATTTTATTTTGAAAATACTATTCATTTTGGAGAATCTGAGTATTAGATAAAGAATCTTTTAAATATGTTCCTTACAATTATATTAATATTAACTACAGCCCTCAACACAATAAATACTCTTTTAACTCAGTGGGTGTTTTTAATTCTGGAAATGTTAACTCCCTATCATGTTTTCTAATTTATTTTATGATTTGTATGTAATATTCTCCTGTAATACACTGTTCTGTTTTTTTAATGTGCACCTTCTCCCTTTTCTTGTTGTTAATGATAACACATTTTTAGCTAAGGAAAGATGAGTACCGACATGTTAAAAAGACTTGCCCAAAATTATATATGCATGATGTTAACACCAAGCTTCATCTCTTTCTCCCATTCTTGAATGCAGACTTTCACTCCTTGGACATGAGATACCGTGATCACCTCCAAGGCCACGATTGTTCCACTGAACCACATATAACTCATATTTTCTTTTCCCTGCCTATGTCCACCCACTTTCTATCCCCTTGCTCTCTCTCACATTTCCTATTTTCAATGACCCAAACTTTAGGGCTGCCATTGGCACCACCAACATTGTCTAGTCCAGGGTACAATGTTTGCTGGCCCCAACAGATACCACTGTTAGATTTCATCCCCAAAAAATATTTTTTAATGACAGTATAACCTGTATTGATTAGATACTGTACCTGTAGATATTGTAGATTGATTAGAACCTGTAGATATTGGTGATTTCTGTAAAGTTTTTGGCAGTGGTGAAAGGAAAAGACAGACAGAGTGGGGCCAAAAAACGTGGCTTTATTGAGTGCTCCCGGGCGAGGTTCACAGGTCCCAAGAGGGGCCAGAGAAGTTGCACTCATTTGAAAGGGGCGTGAGAGCTTTTATACTGTTTGAGAAGGGCTGGGACTTTTGACGGGAAGGGTTTGGGATTTTTCACTGTGGCCTTTGTCTGTTCTTGAGGAATGAGAGGGGCTGGCAGTATCTGCAGATTTCAGGAGGAGGGGCTGGCAGTATCTGCAGATTCCAGGAACCAAAACTTTCTTATTCCAGTGAACATTGGGTATGCTTGTTCTCAGCGGGGCCTGGCAGCTGTTTTTGACGGGTTTGGTCACGTGAGCCTTTTCTTTCTGATCTTGGGAGGGGAAAGGGGCCCCCCACCAGCCTTACAGTTTCCACTACTCACTGGGAATTCTCTGGTGGTTTCTCTTAAGAGTCAAGAGCAAACTACAGAAAAGATTGCTCACTTTTAGATATGATTTTTCTGTCTGGTAAATTGAAGCTCATGTGCTGTTCATCCTGAGAGATTTTTAAGATCCAAGAAGTATGCTGAGATTTCAAATGTCTCCAGATTCGGGTTTCTCACTTACGTCATCATAATGTATTGAGCACTCCAGCTGTGCCAGGCCCTGCGATAAACATTTCACATGGATGACCTCATTCCATTCTCACAAAAGCCCTGGGATTGAAGACTGCTGCTGTCCCCATCACATAGAGGCAATGCATGTGGCCCAGGCACATGGAATGTCTTTCCAGGGGCACACAGTGACAGAGCCAGACTGTGGTCCAAGGTGGTCTAACTCCTAAGCCATCTCATTAAAATCTATACGTATATCAACACCTCATTGCTAGTTTTTTGAAAGGAGTTGTCAATTTGAAAATCATTTTAAAAAATAAAGAGTATGTTGCTAGACAGTGCCTTTAGGACATCTTGATCTGCTTGAAATTTGTAATGTGTTCTATTTTTCTGGATGGTGACTTAAACATTTACTGCACTTTAATTTGCAGGCCCAAGAAGTTAATATTAAAAACATTCAAACAATATTGGTTTGTCTTTAAAGACACGTCTATAGCCTACTTTAAAAATAAGGAACTTGAACAAGGAGAACCAGTAGAAAAACTAAATCTTAGAGGTAAGAGTACTCTACATCTTGCCAATTCTAGGCAAGGTTCCTACAAAATGAAGCAAGGTTTACGTCTAGAGGAACTGCTATCGATCTAGGTTTTCCACACCTGCAGCTCCTTGATCTCATGGAGCGTGGACCTCGAATGTGGTCTAGTGAATATGGTCACTTGCATTCTGCCGTCCCATCCTGCCCAGCGTGTCCAGAGTCTAGGACATGGTGATAACTTGTGTCCATAAATGTAGCATGTGAGGCATTGTAAGACCCTGAAAAGCTTTCTGAATTCAGAACAGTTATGTTTAATCCAGTATCAGGTTACTATCTATTCTAATTTCTAAAAGTCACTGTGAGTATATACTGGAAACTCTCTATTAAATTAACCAGCACACTCAACTGTCCTCATGTGGCTATCAGAGTATTTCCTCTGCTTTGATTTATTTTGACATTCATATTCATAGTTATTCCTTTGAGTTAGGATAGCCAATGTCAAACTGCAAAATGAACTCAATGGACTTTTCTTATTTAAGAAAATCATAAAAGAAAATCATTTTTCTTTACCCATGTTAATTTTTCATAAGTCTTATTTAGTTATCCTTTAATGAGTGTTATGTGCTTGCTCCTCCATTTTTCGGAAGAGAACAAAATCTGTGGGGTTTATGTTCAAAGTCTTTATTTTAGATGCACACTTGATATTCATCTAACAGATTCCTCAGTACTCAGTTTTGTGTCTGTCTTTTGCCATTCAGGCTGTGAAGTCGTGCCAGATGTCAATGTAGCAGGGAGAAAATTTGGAATCAAATTACTAATCCCTGTTGCTGATGGTATGAACGAAGTGTATTTGAGATGTGACCATGTAAGTAAAACCACAAAAAACATTAGTCATTTCACCTTTATTAAGCCTAAGAGCAAAACCTATACGATATTTTATAAAATTAGAGCACTGTTGTGTCAGTCAGCTATTGCTTTGCTACAGTCACAAGTAACAAAATCACAATGACATTCAACAGGTAGGCTGGGGGTTGGATGATCCAGGCTGGTGTCAGCTGGTCAGATCTGCTTTGAGACACAGGTTCCAGCAAGACCTTGCCACAGGTTGAGCTGATTTTACTTATTCTGGGTCCCAGGCTGCCTGGGGGAAACTTCTCGTAGTGACGGCAGGAGTGCAAAAGGCTTGAAATTGTCATACTGTCACTTCCCTCCACATCCCGTTGGCCAAAGCAGATCACATAACTGAGCCGATGTCAAGAGACTGGAATCGCACTGTCTCTTGTAACTGTTAAGTTACAAGGCAAAGGGTGTAGATCCCAAGAGTGTGAAGATTGAGGCCAATAAGTCAACATACCACATGCACTGTTGCACTGAACAATTCCTCTTCTCAAGGGCATCCCCTGAGCTTCTAGGGAGCCCTCCTGTTCACTCCTTGAGCTCAAAAATGAGCATAGACCTTAAAGAACAATAGAAGCCACTACTAACTTGTTCAGGTCCCATAATGGCCCTGACTGCTACTTTATAATTAGAATCTTTACTGAGGATAGATCAGCATATGAATAATACAGGAAATCAGTTAATGATTTTTTTTTATTATTTTCTTTTGTCACAGACATCAGACATGATCTAAAACTGGAAATATGTACCAAGGAAGGCTCTCTGGTAGTTTGAGGTTTCACCTGTCTGTGCTTCATGGCACTCCTTTGTGTCCTTGGATCATCTTTAAATGCAAATTTCCTTGCATGGAATTTATCAAAGCCAGCATTCCTGTCCTGTGGCCCCTTAGCATCTAGAAACTCAACACAGGCCTCAAAGGCTATTGCCGGGTGTTACATTAGGTGGTTGACAGACATTCAGAACGTGTGCCACTTCACATTTTTCCTTGCTTAGAAGGTGATAGTTTTGTATTACAATGGAGAAGAAAGTCCAAGTCCTGCTGTTTATAGCAAGGTGTCTTTGCACTTGAGCTTATTTTCCAGCCCTCGGGTTTTTGCTGCAGGAGAATCAATATGCCCGGTGGATGGCTGCCTGCATCTTGGCATCGAAGGGCAAAACCATGGCAGACAGCTCCTACCAGCCAGAGGTCCTCAACATCCTTTCATTTCTGAGAATGAAAAACAGGAACTCTGCATCTCAGGTGGCTACAAGTCTTGAAAACATTGACATGAACCCGGAGTGTTTTGTGTCACCTCGATGTGCAAAAAAACACAAGTCTAAACAGGTACTGCTAATCTTGTTGGGGCGATTGTTTGCAGTAGAATCTTTATGTTCTAAAATAAAAGAAGGAGTTCCATCTGATTAATGCCATCATCATGAAAAATCAGTTGACAGGGAAATTGCCTATGTACTAAGTATTATATGATATTAGGAAATTATTGTTAATTTTGTTAGAGGTGACTGTAATGCTGACTGAACATGGAGACATTCCCAGATTGAACTTAATCAAGAAAAACTATTTAGTTACCACCAACTGAAAATTAAAATTATGCCTTCATAGGAATGGGTCAAAAGTTACACAGATGAACTGAACTGTCTGTGGATACTCCACGGATCTCGGACAGAAGGACCCCAGAGCTCTCCATCTGCAACCTCAGGAGCTTTTGTGTTTCCTGATCTCATTCTGCTTCTCTCCTGTCATGTCTTATAGAAAAATGGGAATGAATGGTCTTTGTAGAGCTGCAGTCAGGCCTTGCATTTATTGTTCTCTTTGGGGATCCAGCACTAATGGCATGATTACAGGGCAGTGGGTGTACATGGAGGGGAGTTTGATGTCTCCTATTTCTCCTTAGCTGGCAGCCCGGATCCTGGAAGCCCACCAGAACGTGGCCCAGATGCCCCTGGTTGAAGCCAAGCTGCGGTTCATCCAGGCGTGGCAGTCCCTACCTGAATTCGGCCTCACCTACTACCTTGTCAGGTGACTACAGTGTTCACTTGCCTGTCTCACTTTCTGTTCAGTTGTGAGTGGCTTTCTGGGAACCCAGTTTATTCTCATTTAGCAAAGAATATAGAACCCTTTATTTTTTATTTCAGCATATTGTCGGGGTACAAGGTTATGTTAAGGTTATATATTTTGCCCATGTCCCCCACTCCCCCCTCAAGTCAGAGCTTCAAGCGTGACCATCTCCCAAACGTTGCACATCTCACTCATTATATTTGTATATACTCATCCCCTCCTTCCCCCTCCCACCTGCCCAACACCTGACAAATGTTACTCCTATATGTCCACTTAGGTGTTGATCCGTTAATACCAATTTGCTGGTGAGTACATGTGGTGCTTGATTTTCAATTCTTGCGATACTTCACTTAGTAGAATGGGTTCCAGGTCTATCCAGGAAAATACAAGAGGTGCTATATCACCATTGTTTCTTAAAGCTGAATAGTACTCCATGGTATACATATACTACATTTTATTAATCCACTCAAGCATTGATGGGCACTTGGGTTGTTTCCACAACTTTGCAATTGTGAATTGTGCTGCTATAAACATTCGAGTGCAGGTATCTTTTTCATAAAGTGACTTTTGGTCTTTTGGGTAGATGCCCAGTAGTGGAATTGCTGGATCAAATGGTAGATCTACTTGTATCGCTTTAAGGTATCTCCATATTGCTTTCCACAGAGGTTGAACTAGTTTGCAGGGACATCAGCAGTGCAGGAATAGAACTCTTTATTTTAGAAAGCTGCCCTTTCAAAAATGGCCAAACACTTTGGGCTGTTCACAGACATGGTCCACACCTTCTGCTCCACAGCCCTGAACCTCAGCTAAGTAGGAAAGAGAATTTTAAAAGGAGGAGATTTCATTCTTTTAGGATGACTACCTCTGCAAAGCCAGAGGGAAAATGTCACCTGTGATTTTATGAAAGCTGTGACATTCTTTCATGTCAGCTTCCTCTCTGTTTTGTATCTCATATTGTGTCTCATGGTATGGCTTTGCAGAATTTTGGGGTTTCTAGAAAGGTTCCAACAAACCTATGTCTTATCTTCATCTGGTTTTATCAGATAGCAGCCCTGTTCCATTGGTCCAAAGGACCCAGAGAAGGCCATCTATTACCCACTTCTGTTTTACAGATGAAAGCACTGAAATATAGAGAAATAGCTTAAGTGAGCTGTCCAGGTTCTCCTCCTGGTCAGGGGCATGCCTTGGCATAGAGCCCAGTGTCCTCACTGTAATCCCCACCCAGCGCGACGGCTCTGCCCCACTGTATGAAATGAATGGTTTCCCAAACTGTGTCCGCAAGTGTGCTTGTAAATCGAATTACATTTTCCAGTTCAGTAGGGAAGACTGATGTTTAAGCAAAATCTAAACTTAATCCTGCAGTACAGTAAGTGCTCTCAGTCACTTTCCCATTTTATAATTTGAGGGTTGGAAGATGGGTTTTTATTTGAAAACATTGAATTATAGGAAAGTACAGTTTTCATTTGTTTTCTCAGCTCTTCAAAGACTGAGTTTCCTCAACCCCTTCTAGCAAGGGAGTCTATCCAGACTTTTGTGTTCACTGAAACATCTCACTTAACATCTGTCCCCCATGTTTATCCCAAACAAGCAACGACTCCTGCTCTATTCACTGCAGCAAAAGAGTGAGGGAGGGTGAAGCTGTGCTGGACACCCCCTTATGTGCATGGACGTGTGTACATGTGTGTACACACACACACACTCACACACACACACCTATAACTCTGAAGTCAACCCCGCATGGTGGGGAAAGAACACACACACTGGAGCCCACCAGGCCCAGCTTCCAGGCCCACTTCTGCCTCTGCTAGCTATGTGACCTGGGGCATTGTCACCAGCCTCACCAAGCCTCAGCCTCTGCTCACAGGGCATTCTGAGCAAATCCAGTGCAACAAGGCAAGGAAAGTGCCTGATAAATTGTGAAGGGGAGTGTGGGCCCTGAACAAATTCCCCTGCCTTTTACTCCTGTCCCCCACGGCCCTTTTGCCAGCTGTTTCCCCCTGCACTTCCTTCCACCTCCAGCATCTGTTTATGGAGGGGAGGCTTTGTGGCAGCAGCCCTGGGTGTGATGAAAATCTGCCTTTTCCAAGGCCAGTGTCCTCTGTGTAGGATGGCAGGCGGAGTCAGGATCTGCCCACACCGAGAAACCTGGGTCTTTCTTTGCTTCACAACTCCCCGAATTCCAGCGAGCAGCCCAGGGAGTCCCCTATGTTAGAGAAAAGCAGGTGGAGCAAGAAGCAAGCTAACTTGTGCTATTAAGCGTTATGGTGGTAGAATGAATGAACAATCAAAGATACGGGAATAATTCCAGAAAAGTACAGTAAACTGTAATCACACAAAGGGAACGTGAAAAAGATAAGAGTGATGTGGAAAGTGGCTTATTCAACTAGGAATTATTTTTCTCCAATTATATAATATTTTTCTCTCTCCCACAACCTCAATTTTCACATCCCCACATCCCCCTCCAGTAGCTGTCCCTGTTCCCAGCTCCTCTTCACAGCAGAACTTGAACGTGGTGTCCCTACCACTGTCCCCAGTTCCTTGGTTCCATTCTGTCTTGACCCTGCTCCAGTCAGGTCTTCTCCCCTCCACACGCCACTGCCCCTGCCGCTCGCTCTCATCAAGGTCACCCATTCGTCACCCCGTGACCTTCACATTGCTGACTCCATGGGTCAGCCTTTGCCAGCTGGCCTCTCAGCAGCGTTCGGCACAGTGAGTCCAGCCCTCCTCCCTGACACACTTGCGTCACTTGCCTTCCGGATTTTCCTCGCTGTCACTGGTCTGTTCTTTTGGCCTCCTTTGCTGTTCTTTCTCATCTTCCCAAGCTTGTATAATACTGGAGTGCACAGGCCTCAGCTCTTAAAACACTCCTCTTCCTGGGCTCAGCCATTCTTTTGGCTTCATTTATATGCTGATTACTCCAAAATGTATATCTTGAGCCTAGAACTCTCCCTTGAACTGCAGATTCGTAAATCCAACAATGCTTAGATGTCTAACAGCCATCTCCCCTTAACATGTCCAGAATTCCTGATCTTCCCGTCTAAACCAGCCCGCCGACCCCAACATTCTTCTGCATCTCAGTAACGGGCAACTCCTCCCTCTGGATGTTCAGGCCAAATTTCTTGAGGTCATTCCTGACTCTGCTCTGTATTTCTCACGTGACAGCCTGTCCATTGGCCAATCCTGGTGACTCTGTCTTCAGAGTATCCACAGAATCCGACCTCTCCTTACTGCCTCCACCACTACGACCACCATGATCTTCCACCACCACCAGGTCCAGAGTGATCCTACCTGGTCTTTCTGCCTCTACCCTTGACCCCTAAGTTTCCAACTCAGCAGCTAGAGGGATCCTTTTAAAATCTTAAGTCCGATCATGTGAAGCCTCTGCTCAGAACCCTCTGAAGGCTTCCTGTGTCACTCGGAGGAAGAACCAGATCCTTACCCTGGCCTCTAAGACCTTCGCTCCCTAATTCTCTAACTCAGGCCAGACACAGTGGCTCACACATGTAATCCTAGCACTCTGGGAGGCCGAGGCGGGAGGACTGCTTGAGCTCAGGAGTTCGAGACTGGCCTGAACAAAAGTGAGACCCCCGTCTCTACTATAAATATAAAGAAATTAGCCAAACAACTAAAAATAGAAAAAATTAGCCAGGCACAGTGGCACATGCCTGTAGTCCCAGCTACTTGGGAGGCTGAGGCAGAAGGATTGCTTGAGCCCAGGAGTTTGAGGTTGTTGTGAGCTAGGCTGATGCCACGGCACTCTAGCCTGGGCAAAAGAGTGAGACTCTGTCTCAAAAAAAAAAAAAAAAAAATTCTCTAACTCACACACCTCTCCCCTCCTTCACTGTGCCAGCCACATGGGCCTCCTGCCAGGTCCTTGAGCACTCAATAAACAAAGTGGCTGTGCCCTCTGCCTGGAATACTCTTGCCCCAGAGAGCCATATGGTTCATTCCGTCATGCACATTAATTCTTTGATCAAATATCACCATCTCACTGACCTTGCCTGACCTCCCTGTTTTAGATTGTGACACCTCATTGCCAGTATTCTCTGGACCCCTTCTGTGCTGTGTTTTTCCTCATAACCTTATCTGGCATCTTTATTTCACACTTATGATCCTCTCTCCCCACTAGTCAGGAATTTTCTATCCATTTTGTTCACTATAATATGCCCAGTGCCTGGGAGGGTCCCTGGCACACAGCAGTGGTGCTAATTTTGAATGAATTGATTTGACCTCCTCTTATTTTACTTTCCTCTGATGTCAATTTCACTTAAAGAATGTCTGCGGGATAGTCTTCATTCTCTCCATTCCTCATATTTTCTATGTCACCATAAAAATGCCCTCCTGTAGAAAGTTAACCCCTCATTGTCTATTCTTCTAAAATGATTCAGAAATGTTGGTATTATCTTATCCTTAAGAAGCTGTATGTGAATGAACATCATTATTATAGGAAACAGTTGCTTCTCTTAACTAATATTATTGGGGTTTTTGTTTTTAATTTTTTTTTTAAGATTTAAAGGAAGCAAGAAAGATGACATCCTCGGAGTCTCCTATAACAGGTTGATTAGAATTGATGTAGCCACAGGGATTCCAATTACAACATGGAGATTCACAAACATGAAACAGTGGAATGTCAATTGGGAAATCCGGCAGGTAGAGTGAAAGTTTTTGCTATTCAGTGTTGAGCCTGTAAATGTATGTTCTGTCAGAATTGCAGGTTATTCTGATTTTTAAAAGGTGTTCTTATACTTAGATTTAAGAACCCCCAAGCAGGTAGTAATTACCTGGTGAAATAATCACATGCACTTCTGGGCAGTTTCCTAACAAGTACAGGCCAAATGTTCTTGAAGTAACACCGCAAGTTGGCTTTGTCTCTGTGCAGGCTTTCCATACAGACAGACGCTAAAATTGCTGAGCAGTTTGATTAATTTTCATTGACTCATCACGGTATTATATAAGATTTAGGCTGGTGATTACTTAGTGGAAACTACCTGAGATGTAACTGCTACACAAAATATAAATACAAGAAAGGCCCCATCTGACTGATTGAGGGCTCAGAGGCTCAGCTGCCCAACTGGAGAACATTCCAGTCCCAAAAGAGAAAAAGTGCCGGAGAACCACGGTGCACAGAGATGACTGAGAATAGTGTGGCCTCCTGAGATGAGGAGCCCGCAAACCCTTAGCCTGTGTGACAGTTTCCTGTCATCTCCCATCCTAGGAATGACATCATTCAGGCCAAGCATGTGTCCTGGGAAATCTCAGATGAAGTTACCAGCAGCGTCCTATTGGTGATTTAAAATATTCCGACGTTGCTGGTATAGAATCTATCTTCTCTCGTTCCTTTTGCATTCTCGTTTTTCCGGTAGAAAGCCATCAACATAGAGGGACGGTAAGGGACGCACCCTGGAGTCCTTTCAGCATTGCTGGCAACCATCTGGGCTCTCATTTGTAAAATGAAGGTCAGAGATTGGATGAACCTCTAAGGCAGTAGCTCTAAAACCTGGATGCATGTTAGGATCAGCTGGAGAGCTTTAAGATACTACTGCCCAGACCACACCCAAGACCAATCAAACCTGAGTTTCTGGGAATAGGGAACTAGGCTTCAGTAACCTTTGAAGTTCCACACATCATGCCAGTGGGCAGCCACAGTTGAGAACCAGTGAAGCATCTAAGTCTTTTTTCTAGTGCTTAGAGTTTATGACTTTCAGCTGGGAAAGGTGCCAGGCAGTGACTGTAGGGAAATTGAGGCAGACCTTTTATTTTGCCCCTCAACACAGGGAGTGCTTGGGAAATTCTTATATCTAAACGACACAGAAAATACTGGCCGTGTTGTGTTGGGACTTGTTTTACCAGCTGTGCGGCAAAGTTGACACCACAAGAGGGCGCAAAGAGAACAAAGACACGTTTTCTGCAAGTGTTTAATTGGAAGCGGTGGTTTTCTGTGTGATCTTTTGGGATATCTCCTGTCAGCCACCTCACCTCAGCGGCTGACAGGAGGCCGCTCCAGGGCCCCCTTAGCCTGTGTCACAGTTCCCCATCATCTCCCAAGCAGCCTCTTTCTCGTCGTCCCCTGTCAGAGTTTAAGCTGATCCGTGCCCTCCTCGTCCAGGTGGCCATCGAGTTCGACCAAAACGTCTCCATTGCGTTCACTTGCCTGAGCGCCGATTGCAAGGTCGTGCACGAGTACATCGGTGGCTACATTTTCTTGTCCACCCGCTCCAAGGACCAGAATGAAACGCTCGATGAGGACCTGTTCCACAAATTGACCGGCGGTCAGGATTGAAGCAGGAAGTCCCGCTGAGCCCACACAGACAGGCAAGCCACCAGCTGTCCCCTCTAGATGCACGTGATCCCCGGCTCTGCCTGCCCAGTGTGTAGACTCCGGACCCATGGACAGCACACATTCGCTCAGATCCTCGCCTCCTTCCAAACACACTGCTAGGCCAACCCTTTCCTCACTTCACCCTGTGCTATCAGTTGTGGAAGGGGCCTCACTTGCCTTTTCTGCAAAATGGGTGGGCAGGAGGGGGGGGAACTCCAAGATACTAGGGTCCAAAGGCCCAGCATGTCGCTACAGGTCTGTGACTTGCAGAACGTGCCCAGTGTGTGGCTAGCAGTTGTCCTTGTGCTTATCTGCCTCATTGCCAAGTCAGTCGAGAAGTCAGAAAGGTAAAAATCACATGTAGAAAGTATAAATATTATTCCACAAACTCAGGTATGAAAAGAAATATGTCTTTCCCTAATGAAACTGTGTTAGCTCCCATCTTATGAAAACGGTACAGGGTGTCCCCCAAATGCACACTTCTCCCGTGGAGGGAAGGTCTCGGAGTAGAGAGGGAGGAGCAGGGCTATCTGGTAGCAGTTGGTGACAAGGTATCAGGGCAATGGCTTTCAGTGCCCTCCGTCCACAGTGACATCCGCCAAGGTGACCACTGACCCATCTGGTCTTGGTCACTGGTCCTCTTGGGTCACTGCTGCCACCAGCAAGCCCTTCCATTCCGTTCCTGGGGATCCCTTAGCCACCTTCAAGTCCTTCGTGAAGACATGGGTGACACAAGGGTGTAGGGAAACCTATTCCTCAGCCCAGACCCATGTCTCAGCTGCTTCTGCTCTGGGTTGGGGCTCAGGGGGACGGGCACAGTTCTCTCTGTTCATAAAAACCACTTCCCAGCATCAAGGAATCCAGGCAGGTGTCCATCCCAGCTGGTCAGGGAGAGAAGGGCAGACCTGTTCTCAAGGGCCACCATGTGCACGGGCTGACGGCTCCCCACTGGCTGCCACCCCACGGCCTCTGGCCAGTCTGGGTAGTGGGGAAGTGTTCCTCTTACCACCAAACCGTGTTCTCCTGGATTTGGTGTCTGTGTTTACACTGACTCCTGACCTTTTCCCTAAAGGCCTTTGGCTTTGTAAATCACAAGCCACTAATAGACTCTTTTTCCCTTGCTTATTGCTGGTCATCCCTGCCTTGAGACATCATCCTGAGCCATGTGAACAGCTGAATTGAAAATGAATTGTCATTTTCTGTTTTGGTTTGTTAGCAGTGGGTGGGGTGGGTTTAGAGTTGGCGAAAAGTAATACCAGAGGTAAAGGGAACTGTCCGATAATACTTTATTATGCTTTTTCTAAATGTTCTCCTGCCACACAAAAAGCCTGGGTTGCAAGGATATAAGGCCAAGGCTCCAACTCTGTTCTGCAGTTCTCTTGGCATGAACCCTCATGGGGCCTGGCTGGAGCCCAGATGCCCGCAAGCGTCAGCTGCTGGTTTATTATCTAACAAAGCAATCTAAGAAGTGAGATCTCAGCAGTTCCGGGAGCCACATAGCGACAGCCTTGGCTAAGGACCTCCTGGTCCGGAGCCAGGACCTGCCATCTGGAAATTCCTCTTTTAGCCTCTCCGTAGAGGTGAATGTTGATGAAGCCTCCCAGGCACCAGCTGAATTTCTCAAGCCTAACTTAAAGCTCAGAGGTGGCTTAAGCCCTTGGAAACTCAGGTTCACTCATAAAGAACTGAATTTGAAATGGTTTATGTAGAAAGTAGTGCTGAGTCTACTGTGTTAAACTTGGTGTTGGTCGTTTCTCTGTAATCCTAGGCTCTATTATTTAAGAAGCTAGTCAAGTCGTTATAATTACAACAAAGCCATACATTAAAATAATGTTCCTTGTCCGATTTTATCTGTCTTCAACCAAGGACAGCACTCTCTAAGTTTACCTAAGTCAGACCTTCAGTTCAACCCTCTTCCTCAGCTTGTCATGGCTGTCTGACATTTCCGTGAAAACACTCAAAGGAATTGACTGGTTTTAACCAAACTTTCTCTGTTGATTACAACTTTCAGGGGAATATTTCTTCTGTGACTACAACAGCAACGTCCCAAAGGAATACACAAGTATGACAAGAAAACCTTAAATGCTGCTGTTCCAAAGAGCAACCTTAAGGACATTATTTTTTTACATTGAGTACAAAAGGTCATCTGACTTTCTATGTTGAAATTTTAAATTAATGTGTGCCTTTCAACATCATTTACGTTTTTTATCTACACTAGATGCAGAAATCTGCATTTGTTATTATTTTCTATGACCTTTTTTTAAGTAAAAGGTTTGTATGAATTTGAGCATGGTCCAGTTGTGTCCTTTCCAACCTGTCTCCAAAAAGGTGATTATTTTCTCTGTTACAAAAAAAGAGCGAGACTCCCAGGTCTGGCGCAGGCCTCTCCTCACGCTGCCAAGGTTCCAGCTAATTCTCCCCGCTGCTGTGGCGAGTGGCCGATCACGTAGGTCCTCAGAGATCAATTTAGAAACCTCACTTAGCTGTTGGTTTAAGTTTCTTTCTCACTGACTCAGTCTCCAGCTTTCCTGATGTACCCTGCCTTATCTTGAGCTCTTTTGTCTTTTTCCAGGTCTGTCTTTTAGAAAAAAAAAAAACAAAAAACACCAGAGAGTAAAAAAAAGTATCCGGAGGCAACAGAGCAGCTGAAGGCTTCTGGTTTTGATGGTTGGATGTTGAGGGTACATCTTTGTTTTAGGGATAGGGGGTCCCACCGTCTGTATGCAGTTCTCACATCGGCCCATAGAGGGCAGCAGCAGCTTGCTTTCTCACTTTACAAAGGCGAAAACAAACTCAGAAGGTTAAGCAACATGCCCAGGGTCAAGCCGCTGATAATCAGTGAAACCAGGCTCCGACGCTAGATTTGTCTTAACTCCGGAAACCACTGAGCTTCACCCAGCGAACCCCACCCTTCCTACCCCTGTCCTGCTCAGCCTTGAAAGGCCCTCCCCCTGCGCAGCCTCAGTGCAGGCTTAGTGCAGGCTTCCCCTGAGCTCAGTGTCCCAAGGTCAGGCTCACTAGGGTCGGAGGGCCGGAGGGCGTTAGGGAGAGTGGCTGCCCGATTTAGCTGGGGGAGGAGGGGGTGGACCAAAGCACCGGAGAAATGAGGTGCTCAGAGAGTATTTTATTTTTAATTCTTTTTTTTTTTTTTTTTTTTTTTGAGACAGAGTCTCACTTTGTTGCCCAGGCTGGAGTGAGTGCTGTGGTGTCGCCTAGCTCACAGCAACCTCAAACTCCTGGGCTCAAGCAATCCTTCTGCCTCAGCCTCCCAAGTAGCTGCAAGTACAGGCATGTGCCACCATGCCTGGCTGATTTTTTCTATATATATTAGTTGGCCAATTAATTTCTTTCTATTTATAGTAGAGACGGGGTCTCGCTCTTGCTCAGGCTGGTTTTGAACTCCTGACCTCCAGCAATCTGCCCACCTCGGCCTTCCAGAGTGCTAGGATTACAGGCCTGAGCCACCGTGCCCAGCCTATTTTTAATTCTGGGAAAGTTTCATGACCAGCCCCTGGATGAGAAACGTAAGGAAATGAGGAGTCATTCATTTGAAAATTCATCTTTTATTTGTAGGCACTAGAAGTCAAGACATTTTATATCTATTTTCTGAAAATAGATATAAAATTTTTTAATTCTGAAAATTTTTTAAATCACGTATAAGATTTCTTTATTTGCTTCTACATTCAATATCTTTATATTCATGTTCATTGTTTTCCCACACAAATGTGACTTTCCTGCCTCCTCCCTCACCCCCTCAGTCACCCCAGAATCTTGCAGTGACTGGGGGGGGCAGAGACACCTCCTTATTTGCTATTTCACCCCTTTCTTCTCCCTCACTCCCCTACCATCAAGGGCTCTCTCGAGTCCTGGGAATCACGGACCGAAAATCCGAAGGTCAGCACTTGGCCCTCGCTGGTGATAAAGTTTTTTCCATTCCCTTGTACCTCACTGAGGCCTTGTGGATAAATGTTGATTGCTGTTAAAAAAGGGGGAAAAAAAATCAGCCAGTCCTTGTTCTGTCTTCTCAAATGCCAGTGCTGGCCGTGAACTCCAGCTGTCTGTCTGTCCTTGGGGTGGTAGGTTCTCAGCTTTCTTTAGCCACGATCCTGACTTACAGCTGTGGGAAAGATTCTTTCAACTAAACCGATTTACCTCCTTCCTCCAACTCACTGTGTGACCTTGTGGAAGACCCATAATTCCCCTGCATGCCTCAGTTTCTTCAGTTGTTACAAAGGAAAAGTTCCATAGCCACTGCTCTGCCAGAGCAAATGGCAAATGCTTTGTGGGAACTTCACAGGATGGTCTCTCTCTGCTTCACCCCTGGAAGTTGGGAGGTGAGGCCTTCGGCTGCTCGCTGAGACCCTTGGGAGGCAAAAGTGGACCCTGTGGAGGAGGCAGAACCCTTTGTGAGTGGAGCAGAGGACCCTGGGGAGGAGAGGGTCCAAAGCCCCAAGCCTGCGCCCTCTGGTTTGAGAGATGTGTTGTGAGAGGCCCAGTGGTGGCTGCCGGGGAAGGCAAATGAGGTTCCGAATGTAAATATATGTTGCCCTAAAAAAAGGGAAGGGGGTTGCAACAAGGCCTAGGGCCAGGGCTCGACACACAGGCTCCCAACCAATGGGGTAGCTGGTTGGGCCCAGTGCCTGGCTGGTAACAGACAGCTACTAGGAGAGAGCAAGGACACTCTTGAGGCGGTGCTGTGCTGTGGAGGCCGGGAGCCAGGGCTGTAAGGGAGAGGTGCTCCAGGCACCTGGGAGCACTGGGCACAGAGGTCAGACCAGGTGCTTACAAAGGGCCCCGGACCTCTAGCAGAACCAATGTTTCCTTTCTAGGAGTTACACACACCCAGCTTCAAAGCAAAGAGGCTGGTCCTAACAGGCCACGGACCAGTACTGGGCCACAGCCAAGGGGGTTGGGGACCACAGGTGAAGGCTCCCGCCACAGCCAACACGATGTCAGTGAACACAGAGGTGGGAAGCGATATGAATATCCACTTCTTCGGGGGGGATGAACCTGCTCCAGCACACATGGGGACTGTGACCAGAGAGGTCAAGCAGCTTGCCAAGGTCACCCAGCTAGTATGTGGGAAGCTAGGATTTGTACCCAGACCTTCCAGCATGAGGTGTGCTCCTCGGTGCTTGATTGCTCAGGGGAACAGCAAGGCTTCCCGAGCCAAGAACTCATTGCGATAATGTCCCCCATAGGCAATTTTTCCTCCAATTACTTTACACTAGATTTCAAATGACAAAATAGTGAACATTTCTACTAAAAAAATTTCAAATCCCAACAGTTGGCCCAATACGACATGTGTTTGCAAGTCTGTGTCAGAGGTGGGATTAAGGAGGGGAGGAAAGAGTTCTGCCTTTTTCCCAACGGAGAGAGAACACCAAACCACGGCCCGAGATGCCTCCTCCCCACAGCTGGTTGGCGCAGCTCTCGTTATTGCATGCAAACGGTTGATGTCAAATCCCACCAGAGAGGTGGCTTTCCTCGGGGACCAAGATCTTTTAAAGGCTGAGTGAAATGTTTTTATCCTGACCTTTTCCCCCCTTTATAAATCGTTCTTTGAATCAGGCAGACATCAGATGAGCAAATGAACAACCAAACACTTGGCGGGAAGCTGTGGAATGATCCACTGCTTGTAACCCAAGCAAAGTCCACTCTAGGGTGAGGGGCTACACACGCAAATGCATCTGGGGGTAGGAAATGTGCCTGGCACAGTGGGTCAGATACGAGATCACAAGAGTTTGAGTGCCATGCTCTGCCTAGTAGTCACATATTTTTAAAATACTACATGGTATAATATATCTGAGAACTGAAGCCTGTGGGCCAATAGTTTTCTATTTCTTTTAGGGTTCAGCCAATACTAACTCAACCAAATCAACTTTTTAAAAGACATATATTTTTTTCGATCACAACTGTTTAGCTACAAGTGACAGAAAATCCCAAATAGTTGCTCAAACAACGGAAAGGTTTTAATTCTTCCACCTAAAATTCCTAAGGTGGGCAAGCCTACACCATAAGGCATTCCATACCCTGCCAGGAACCACAACCTTTATCTTTTTGTTCTGTCCTTTATGTTTGTGCAGCTTCTACTCCCAAAAAGGCATCTCCTGGTCTGACATGGCTGCTACAGCTCCAGGTGTCATGTCACAGGGCTTTAGGTAGCTGCCAGGGAGGTTGAAATATTTGGTCTTTATTCAAAGTAGCCATAGATGCAACTAGAAATCAAGGTTATTTTACTAATAAAGTGAGAATAGGCCGGGCACAGTGGCTCACGCCTGTAATCCTAACACTCTGGAAGGCCGAGGCAGGTGGATTTCTCAAGGTCAGGAGTTCAAAACCAGCCTGAGCAAGACTGAGACCCCGTCTCTACTATAAATAGAAAGAAATTAATTGGCCAGCTAATATATATATATATATATATATAAAATTAGCCAGGCATGGCGGCATATGCCTGTAGTCCCAACTACTTGGGAGGCTGAGGCAGGAGGATTGCTTGAGCCCAGGAGTTTGAGGCTGCTGTGAGGTAGGCTGACACCATGGCACTCACTCTCAAAAAAAAAAAAAAAAAAAGTGAGAATAGACATTGGGAAACAAGTGGCTTCCTCTGCCATAACCACCTGCTATGTGCCAGACACTATGCTAGATGCTCAGGTTAGTAAATAGAGCAGAGTTTATGATTTAGCAAGAGAGAAAGATGTCTAAGCAAATCCAGACAGTCCCTGACTTACAGTGGTTCAACTTAACAATTTTTGACTTACGATGGGGCTTATCAGGGAAGTTCCATGAGATTCCAAATCATGACTTTGTTTCTGCAACTCGAGCATATTTAAAAAAAAAAAAAAAAGAATTCCCTTTAACACATTATATAGTCGAAATCTAAACAAACCCATAGCAAACCCTGACTCCTTGTGTGGAAAACCCCAAATGAGGAACTACAACTGATCAGAAACAGAAGAAAGGGAGGGCAGAGTTACACTTGTGTGCTCAGCAAATCTCTCTGAAGCATGTGTTGTGAGCAGGTACCCGTACTGCCAGTTGCTAGGGCTGCCTCAGTGAGCAAGCTGGACACAGTCCCTGAACAAACAGCTCACATTTCAGCCCTTTGTGACTTGACGTGTGCTGCCCCTGTGCGTGACTGTCTTTTGTCTCCCACTCCTTCTAGAGTGGGAACTGCTTGAGGGCAGGGTCCAAATCTTGTTCATCTCTGAGCCCCATTTTATATACTGGCTTCCTGGGCCATGCACCAGCATGTTCTCGGGGTATTGCTACGTCAATTCATTTACTTTACAGATGAAAAACAGGACACAGACAGAAGCTTAAGAATGCAGACATTGTACCCAGTAAGATGACAGTAGCATTGACATAAGAATCCAGCATCCTGTGTTACTATTTAAGGTCCTTTTCCCTTAGCGTGCTGCCTCTGGCTGTGGTAAATTCCCAAATGTGGTTTATGAAAACAGCCTATCTACTGTCTGTCCCACCTCCTACAGTCACATGCAAAATAAAGTGGCAGATTAGAGCCTGACCTCTCGTTCCAGTTTGAATCTTTTTTCTTTTCCACTAAAGATTTTAAAGGCTCTTAAATGGTATCTTTTAAAAGTCTAAGCATTCCACAACTCGTCATTCTGATATCTTACTGTTAGTGGGTGACGCCTCCATAGGAAAATCAACATGAGTCCCAATTTCATTTTCTCAAGACCACTTGAAAGCCTCTTTTCTGCATTCCATTCCGGGAGAGCTGGCTCTTCCTGGAGACTTGACAACCTGGTACCGTCTCCTCCCACAGTTACCCTCCCATTCCTCTGGCTTATCTCTGCTGTCAGAGAAGAATGCAGTCATTAGGCTTGCACATTGGCACTCCAGTATTTGGGGGCAGAGCCCTCAGCAGAGCCTGCTGGCATCCAGAGGGCAGGGTGAGGGCAGCTGGCTGAGCAGTCACCTGTCACCTGGGCCAGCCCCATTCACCCACCGCAGGCTGCCAGGGCTGTAAACAGAGCCACAGAGGATGCCCTTAGAAGACACCAATTCTACGTCTATGGGGCAATCTGTATTGGGGCTGTTTATTCCTGGAGTTCTGGGAGTAGGATGGGAACAGCAGGAGTCAAAACCCCTAGAAACTCTGCCCAGCAGCCTGATGCTCACCAGGTGTGTTTCCTTAGCCACACCTGTGGGAACAGGCCCACATGGCTAATGCCAGGGCAGGTGAGACCTGGTCAGCTGCGCAAGTAAGTCCAGAGCCCAGAATGGAATCGTGAGATTTAGGTCCCCTTCCCTCTCCTTGGATAATTAGGAACTCACCACTCAGACCTCAGACAAAACAATTTCCCTCTCTGGGACTCAGTTTTCTCCTCCTACAGTGGACAGGGAGGGGTGGGACCAGACAAATCCTAAAGTCCCTCTAAAGCCAAGGACCCACACTCTGATTTTTATCTAAATCCAGAGAAGTGTAGCCAAGTGTATAATTACTGGCTCTCTTTTTCCCTACGGGCTATGGTTTTACTAACTCTCTAACCTTGTGATCTTCTTCCAGATTTCCCCTCCAAAGATCATGAGAGTGTCGGGCATCTGAATAAGAAAGCTCTTCATGACTCAGTTTCCTACCTCCATGTCTGCTCCTGCCCCCACCTCAACCCCCACCTTAGCCCTTCTCAACGTGGGGATGCTAGACAGCCTGGGCCACAGTCCTCAGGGCCTTGAACTTAATGTTTACTGTTCTGGGCTCTGCCCCTTCCACTCCCTGGCACTGCGGAGGATGTCACGATCCTCCATGTCCTCTGTGGGGCCTTTCCCGTTCATGCATTGAGCAGATTCCACCCTGCACACTGGGGCACTGAGATGGACCATGTGGCCCAGTTCTCAGGAAGTTCAGTCCTGAGTCACGGAAGAGCTGAGTCGATCTGCCTGATGGCAGGTAGCCAAGGTCACCTAGGAAATCACACCCAGGAGGACACCTAATTCAGCTTGGGGCAGGCAAAGAGGGACCCCTTGGGAGAAACCTCAGAGGGTGCTACAGCAGATGCTGCCATACCCACCCATCCCCTTCACACCCTGCGGCGTTGCTCGACCTGTGCTTGGGGACAGCCAGACGTGCCAGGGAGTCGCAGGAAGAAACCTCCACCAGCAAGCAGCAGATGATGGTGGGCAAATGCCCCACTTCCTTTCCACTTGATGGAACTATCCCGAGGTGTGCTCTACACAGTCTCTCAAGGGTCCTGAGCAGGAGAGCCCCGGCTGCTGAGGGCAGTCACCCGCGCATTCACACATGGCCAGCACCTCCCCTCCCTGTCTCACTTCCGTATTCCTTCTCCATGCCTTTGGGGATCGCCTCTCAAATAAACTACCTGCACCCAAGTCCTTATCTCGGGGTCTTCTTCCCAGGGCGTCCACACTAGGTCTAGACAAACGAGCTAAAATGGAAATGAGGGCAATCAAGGAAGGAGCACCCAGGTAGGGGGAACAGCTCGGGTAAAGCCCTGGCATGGCGTGGCGTGGCATTTGGTGTGGCATTTGAAAGACACATACTTTTTGGTCCCAAGACTTTGTCTTGGGATTCAGCATCTTCTCCGGAGGGGACAAACTCTTTAGTCATCTTTTTCTGACCTCCAAGCAGTGCTGGAAGAGAAGGAAGGGCTGGACAAGAGGGCTAGCCCTCCCCTCCCCCAGAGGTGCCCAGTAGGCCCCGTCCAGTCGTCTTCCCCGGTGCTGGGCCCACAGTGACCTAAGGAGTTGGCTCCGTGTCTTCTGAGAATAAGCGGGTCAACGACACAAAGGAAATGTCCCACCCGTCCCGGCCTCTCGCATGGTTTGGGTCTATCTAAATATCTGGGAAGCTGGTCTTGCACTTAAGGGGACTATTACAGCCTCAAGCGCCGGGGTCCACGGGAGGCCATTTAACTCGGTGGTGAAGTCCGACAGCTCTCTAGGTGTGGGCCCCAGACCCACGGCGGCAGGGCCATCCACACAGCCAAGCTCAGCCACCTTGCCACCACCAGCAAGCAGCAGAGAAGAAGGTGGCTCAGAGGGCTTGGGGCTCCAGGCAGGCACAGACAGATGACCTCGGGAGGATTCCCCACCTAGGGCCTCTCCAGAACCCTCATCCCACCGGCGCACGGAGGAGCACGCCTCGCATGGCTCCCGGAGATCCCATCTTGTAGGCCCCGGTGGTGGACCAACTTCCTCCCTCCTCAGAGTCTCTGCCTGAACGGGGCATGTGTCGGTGGACTCAGGTCCCTCTCTGCCGGGCAGCCCTGCCTGAACTCCCCAAGCCCTGCTGGCCTCAGCGTGGGCAGTCGCCTCGCCGAGGAGGACCTGGCTGGCTTGACTCTGAGAGAAGCCTGGTGTTTGGGTTCTTGGGCGTGGAGCTCCCTGTGCAAAGGCAGAGGCGAAGCCCCTCGGAGCCAGCCGACCCCAACCACACACCTCCCTGCCAGCACTAAGCCTGGAAGGATAGTTTTGAGGCTTTGGGTGGAGAAGGCCTCAAAGGGGCTATTAACCCAGCAGGCCAGTTTCCAAGGTGCCCTGCGGTTCCTCAGGGCTGCCCAGATAAGGACTGACAGGAGGAAAGATAAGTACAGTTCTGGTCCCTGGGTCTGTCACACCAAGCTGGGGTCATTAACCCTGGCCAGCTCTTGGACCCTGCCCCGGGGCCAGGGGAGGTGGGGGAGGGTGCAGATCAAAGCCCCCAGATGAAATGACTGGTCTCCGCTCTCAGCAGCTCTGGGGGTTCCGGGGTGCTGTCTGCTCTAGGCAGACGAGCTCCACACAAGCTCATGGGCATCACCCCATCTTCAGGGGGACTAGGGGCTTGTGGCAGTCAGGACCGGTCATCCCAGCTGTGGGACAGGAACGTTCTTTCTGCATTTCTGCCCTCTTTGTTTATTCTCACTGATTATGAGAGACAAACACCCACCCTGTGAATTCGGTCCCAGAGCAACCAAACTTTCCTTGGGGATGCGGTGATCTGGTCTGAGCCTGAGCCAGACGCTCTGAGGCTTCCTTCTCCTGCCACGTTCCCTGGAAATCCCTGCAAGCCTTCCCCCAGTCTGGGGTGCCCCCCGCTCTGGGTAAGGGGGCTTCCTCCTCTCACTGGCTCACTAGTCAGCCTCTGGTCATCCCAGGAAATGGACCCACCTGGCAGGGAGGACTGGATACCTGAGAGGTGACAGGGCTCCTTCTACCTCACTGCGCCCCAGCAGCCCCCGCTGCACCTGGGGAAGGTGGTGTGAGCAAAGGGGAAGGTGGGGAGGGCGGAGAGGAGGTGCCGGCCGGGAAGGGGCAGGCCCAGGCCCCAGAGGGGGAGGAGACAGTCAAGCAATGAGGGTGTTGGCTAAAAACAAGGAGTCTTGATGGGGAAGGAGGAGCAGGAGGGGCTGGAGTGTCTCAGGCCCTCTCTGTGGATAGGGCCGGGGGAGGGGTGGTTGGGAAATACACCTCTCTCCGGAGTTCAGAGCTGAGTTTCCGTCTAAAGCTACTTGTTCCTGGAATCTCTAAAGCAAGCATCCAAGGGTACCACACTTCAGAAGGACAGCGTCTAGGTGAGTATGACACAATACTGAACACATGGACTCCTGGCTTCAGTTGCCAGGATCTTTCTCACTGTCTTGACCTCTATCTAGCAAGAGGGAGGCCCTTTCCCTAGAGCCTGGGTGGTGGCTTCGAGATCTGGTGGTCAGCTCAGAAAGCTGGGGCAGGAACACACATCTGCAGTCATGGAGGGGTATCAAGCAGTGGCCTCAAGTCCAGAGCCTGGTAGGAAACAGCTTTGCCACTCCTAAACCAGCCCATGACTGCCTGATCTACCCCCACCTGATCTCCACTGCCGTGTGGATCAGAGTGCTGGGTACTCAAGAAACTCATACCTAGCAGCTTTCAGCCATCCCTCCTGGGCAGGGCTAACACTAGGGGTCCTGGCTTTTGTTGGAACCCGTGTGGGACCAGGAAATGCTTGACTCTGGGGTCCCAAGCTGTCTGGGGGTTCCTTCCTTCTTCTCCTGAAGGCAACCCTAAGCATGCTCCAAAGAAAGGGACACCAGAACTTATTTTATGCAAACTAGGACTCACCTGTGGCTGGGCAATTCTAATGGGAAAAACTGGGGCAAGTGAGCATTGTTGCAACCGGCAAAATCTTCCAGTCCGTGTCTCTATCCCAGTTAGCTTCTTCCTGACTGAGGGCGTTCACGCTTATGGAGCAGCGACTGTTCAATTCACAGCAATGAAAGGGACACCCCTTCCCTGCAGAAGCTCACGTGATGGGGGGACTGAGGGGGGTTACTGGGAGGTTCAGACCCAGACTGGACAGATGAGGCAACTCTCCCACAAGACTCGGGAAAGGTATCCCTGAGAGAAGGAAGGGCAGGAGGTGCCACCATGCTCTAGGGAAGGAAAGCTGGCAATGGCAGTCACTGCACACCCGGTGACAACTCCGGGAAGGTCCCCCTGCCTTTCAGGGAGCATCCAGGGCCTGTGCTCCTCCTCAGACCCCGCGGGGGGTGGAGCGAGGGCGCACATTTGTCCCTTTGTTCGGGGGTTTCCGCTGGATGTAATGGGCCTCCTGCTCCTCTCTCCCCAGCCGCGCCATGTGGCGGACCCTGCTGCTGCTGCTGCTGCTGCCGCCGGTGTCGCGCCTCAGCCAGGCAGATCCTCCCCAGGAGAGGGCCCCGCTCTTCTGGCTCACTCAGCGAGGGTCCTGGGGGTGCGACTGCAGCAACGCCACTGGCTCGCCCTGCGAGGGGCTCCCCGCCGCGGGGGCCACGGCCTTGACCCTGGCGAACCGCAGCCTGGAGCGCCTGCCCAGCTGCCTGCCCCGCGCCCTGCGCAGCCTCGACGCCAGCCACAACTTGCTGCGCGCCCTGAGCGCGTCAGACCTCGGCCACCTGCCGCAGCTGCAGGTGCTGACGCTGCGCCACAACCGCGTCTCGGCGCTGAGCTGGGGCCGGGGCGGACCGGCGGGGCTGCACACGCTGGACCTCAGCTACAACCGGCTGGCCGCCCTGCCGCCGTGCGCCGGGCCCGCGTCCGCGCCAAGCAGCCTCCGCTCGCTGGCGCTCTCCGGAAACCCGCTGCGGGCGCTGCCGCCCCGGGCCTTCGCCTGCTTCCCTGCCCTGCGGCTGCTCAACCTGTCCGCCACCGCGCTGGGCCGCGGCGCCGGGGGCGGCATCGCCCAGGAGGCGTTCGCCGGAGCGGACGGCGCGCCCCTGGACGCGCTCGAGGTCCTGGATCTCAGCGGCACGTTCCTCGAGCGGGGTGAGTCCGGGCGCCCCCAGGTCCTCAGCGGGTATGATCGCTGAGCTGCGCAGGGCTGCGCGCCTCCTCGACGGGTGACCTGGTGCCTGGCTCACAGTAGGTCTCAGGAATAACACCAGGGCCGACCGGGTGGCTCAGGACTGTAATCACAGCACTGTGGGAGGCTGAGGCAGGAGGATTGTTTGAGTCCAGGAGGGCGAGACCAGCCTGGGCAACATAGCGAGACCCCATCTCTGCAAAAAATAAGGAAACCTAATTGGGCGTGGTGGTATGCACCTGTAGTCACAGCTACTCGGGAGAATTGCTTTGCGGTTACAGTGAGCTATGATGGCACCATTGCATTCCAGCCCGGGTGACAGAGTGAGACCTTGTTGCTAAAAAAATAAAATAATAACACCAGCTGCATCTCCAGAGCAAGTTGGCCCTGTTTGAAGCACCACACTGGGGTTAACTCCCTGAGTCCTAAGAGGTGGGAACTGTTACTATCCCCACTTTACATGGGAGGGAACCAAAGCACAGAACTGTGACATAAATGGCCTGTGGTCTCACAGCTCATTAAGTGCTTCATGCCTCCAAATCTGAACCCAGGAAAACTCCAGCCACTCTGTTCTTCTGCTTCCCAGCATAGCTGGACAAATGCTTGCGGAATTAGAGTAGGGAATGCACCTCACTTTGGGGTTGAGTAACAGATGAGCTTAGCAGCAAACATGCAGTTAATGAATGTGCAGTATGCTCTGAGGGTGAATTCCTTGATTTTTCTACTTGGAGATGTAGATAATGGTCTTCTGTACTTGGTGTTCTGACTTTGATTCACAAGGTTGGTTTTATTATTTTTTAAAAAAACAAAATAGCACTTTATGTGTCTGTAACCACCTGTTCTATCACAGACTAAAAGAAAAAGGAGAACAGGAAATACAGAGGGGAAGGGGCACATTCTCCATTGATAAGGAGAGCCACAAAATTAGGTTTCTGGGCCTCCTCTCCTCCTTACTTATGATCCTCAAAAGTTCCCCACTCCCCCGGGAGCCATCTGAGTGAAGCTTGGTTATTTTTGTGTGTGGTGTTTAGCAAGAAGGTGGGGTGGCAGTGGACTTGGAGACAGTGTCCTCTGTCCTCTCCCAGCCGTATGTCCTTGGGCCAGACATTCTTCTCTTTGGCCTTGGTGAGCTGGGACTGGTGATCCCCGAGGGCTCTTCCAGCTGAAATGGTCAGGCTTCTGAGATCCCCAAAGCTGCTAACTGTGCCACTGCTCGGCAATGACATTCTTCATGACCCGCCTTGTCACTCTTGTTGCTTCTTTGTGCCACGCTGGCCTCCTGGGTTTGTGCCTTCCTGGGTAACGGGCAGCTTCCCTCTGTGTTTCAGTTGAGCCAGGGTGGATCAGAGACCTGCCGAAGCTGATGTCGCTCTACCTGAGGATGATGCCCAAGCTGAAGACCCTGGAGGGGGACATTTTTAAGCTGACCCCCAACCTGCAGCAGCTGGATTGTCAGGACTCCCCAGCACTTACTTCTGTCCACACAAGCATCTTTCAAGATACTCCTCGTCTGCAGGTCCTTCTGTTCCAGAAGTAAGTGTTTGCGAGGCACATCTTAGTCACATGACTGATTTCTGCCCGTTACACTGTGTTGAGTTGTGTAAAACAAACCAGACCTTAATTTTTCTCCCACTGCTCCCCCAGTCCTCTCTGGGGCTTTGTTATTCCTCACCTTCTGGGTGATTTCTTGGGTAGATTCCCAGATAGTCCAGAGTAATATTAAGACTCCTATACATTTAAAGATTCTTTTTTTTTTTTTTTTTTTTTGAGACAGAGTCTCGCTTTGTTGTCCAGGCTAGAGTGAGTGCCGTGGCGTCAGCCTAGCTCACAGCAACCTCAAACTCCTGGGCTCGAGTGATCCTTCTGCCTCAGCCTCCCGGGTAGCTGGGACTACAGGCATGCGCCACCATGCCCGGCTAATTTTTTATATATATATCAGTTGGCCAATTAATTTTTTTCTATTTATACTAGAGACGGTTTTGAACTCCTGACCTTGAGCAATCCGCCCGCCTCGGCCTCCCAAGAGCTAGGATTACAGGCGTGAGCCACAGCGCCCGGCCTAAAGATTCTTTTAAGCTCAGGCTGAGAACATTTACAGTGGGAAGAAAGGATGAGGACCTCGGCTCTTCTCTCTGTCTGGATTCGCCTCCTTCCCCACATGCTATGCAAGTTCAGTCCCTTCCAGGGTTTGAGCAGGTCTAGGGATGAAAGTAATGTTATTGTTAGAAAATTCCTGGAAACTCTAAGGGCAGGTCTTGTTTGTCCTGTTTTATATAATGCAGCCACTATAGATGGAATTATTCTTGCAAAAGGTGAACAGTTGTTCAAAGCAAAGATAGAACTTTCACACATTCTTTCCTTATTTCCATAAATAGCTATTGAGCACACAATGTTATGAGGGCAAATGTTTTATATCTCCTACTCAGACTCCTTCTGCAAGCAAGCAAGCAAGTGGGAGGGAGGGAGGGAAGGAAGGAAGGAAGGAAGGAAGGAAGGAAGGAAGGAAGGAAGGAAGGAAGGAAGGAAGGAAGGAAGAGAAAGACACCCAAGAGCTGTGTAAAGTGCCAGAATACAAACATCGTGGAATTTCTTCATCTATAAAACATGTACAACAATGGGATTTCACTTTGAGGCTTTTCATGAGAGAAAAAAATATGGTAAACGTAGAGCACTTAGCTCCGGTCCTGGTATATGGTTTATGTCTTATAAAATTAGCGAAGGTGATGGTGGTGGTGATATAATGGTGATGGTGAGGACAGTGATGGCGATTGATGTTGTCTGATGGTGGTGAGGTTGGTAATGATGGTGAATTGGAAATAGTGATGGTAATGCTGATGATGATGGTGATGGTGGGAATGATAATGGTGAGGACAGTGACAATTGTGTGACGAACTGGTGGTGGTGAGGATGCTAATGGTGATGGTGATGGTGGTCATA